ATAAAACCTAAATTCTTGTTCGTTGTGAATACATGACATTTTCATCGATTGATTGCAACCATTAGCAACGTGAAAAAGAGTGGTCAATAGTTCCTTGAGCTTAATGTACAAACAGTGATTTGTCTTATGAATCCATCAAAAAATAAAATTCATGAACATGAACATGGGACATTAAAAAGAAGCGTGATCAGGTACCTAAAATAAGTAAGCATTCATTGTCGAACGCGGTCAATTTCACCGTGGACTCCAATAAGCTGCACTGTAAACAAGGTCATTATAACGACCATAATATTTGCAAAACGCTAATTCTATACAGTTGAAAACCCAGTAACTTCAAGTCATTTGTCAATGGCCTGTTTCGTCTTGAAAAATGACGAAACACAGGGTATTCTTTCGAGTGTTGAATAGGTTTGGAGTAAGGATGTCAAATCGGTCAATTTTTAATACTCGGTTACTCGGACGTTTTTCCGATCGAGTTGAAGTGTAAATAAATACGAACAAGTAAATTAAAGAGTGTCATTGTAAACTCTTGTAGAAATAAAACCAGATGCACTGATAGGAGGCTTACCCGTAAGTGTATTTCTGTTGTAATAATGATGAGCACTTCGTGCCCGACGAATTTTTATATAACATTTTTTAAAGTTCAATTTATTTATCAGATAAATATAAGAAATAAAATCATAAATAGTTCACAGTAGGGGTGGGACGATATACCGATACACCGATACATACCGATATTTTCCTCCAAGATACGGTTTACGATACAAGCATTCAAATATCGGTACGAAACGATACACGAACGACCCATCCAAAAAATGAAAATGAAAGTACCTGTCCTTGGAAAATGGCGGCTTGTACGAAGCGAAGAGATGATGTTGATATTGAAAACACACTTTAGAACTAAGAAGTCGTTGGTTAGGGGTATAACGTTTTCACTTTTAAGCAGACTCGGACGATTAGACAAGAAAAGTTCAGTATGAAATGCGTGCTATACACAGAAAGTGTCGTTTCCAGAACATATGATATTATTAATTGTTAGTCCATCTCGTACTTTTTTGTTGTAATCTCAACTTGGCTACAGACTTTCAGCAATGAATTAATAATAATGTAAACGTGCTCGATGTTTTTAAATGAAATTTTAGTCAGTGTTCTCTGATGAACTATACAACTTTTTGTAAACTATTTGTAAACAACTTCTGAATAGTAATTTGGTAATAATAGTATGTACATATACTGTTGTTTTTGTAAAAGTTTTAGTCAATGAAATTGATAAACTTAAAGTATTAATTTCAAAGAAAACATGATTTGATATAGAATAATTTGCTGATTTAATTTCAAGACAAATAAATTACTAATTTTTTTGAATAGTTTTTTAATTTGACATAATATATCGAGATACGTATCGTATCGTGCCAATATATCGAGATATGTATCGTATCGCAAGATGTGTGTATCGTCCCACCCCTAGTTCACAGTGTTTTTGTTTTTAAAAAAAATCTGCTCTGTAATTGTAATGTTACTCTTTGTTGCGTTTGTCGTCAGAGCTACGTACAGTATCAACTTGAACTTGATCAAGTTCTCCTAACAGAGCGGATTTACGAATTTCGTACACTTTTTCAATCCTAGATTTTATAATATTACGGGACGGTATTTTGTAGTTTGGTGCAACGATGGACATCAGTTTTCTTAAATCCTTTGCCTTCAACCAGTTGTATTGGCATGTAATCAAACACAACCATATCAACAATCGCACATGTAATGTCATCCGCTCTTTTCCCGAGAATTGGAGACATAAACAGCATACGCAGGTGATAGTGGAATATTACAACATAAAGATGGAAAGGCCAGCGTTGTCCTGTTTGTCATGCAGTCAAAAACACCAGAACGTACAACTTTTCCTCGCTCTTTGTCTACAACTTCCCTCGAGATAAATAGAAAACTAGACCTTTAAATTTCGCAAACAACTGCTTCGTCAATAAAAGTACAGCCCTGAAAATTTCTTATCATTATATTTGTTAAAATTCACTCTGATTCTACACAAACGTACTAGATCTCTGAAGATGATACCAAAGGATGCTTGGGTTCTTTTTGATAACATTATGAAACTTCGGAGAACTGGTCTTCCAACAAATTGTTGGAATTATTGACATTAAGATATATCGAAAATGTTTTATTGATTAACAATACCGATAGTTACTTGCATTCATACGTTGACTTGATATATTCCAGTGAACTTGAAATAAAAGATATTAAAGAGTATGTAACATCTGTTTCATAATTGGATAGTTAACTAACTTTAACATCTATTAGGTCTTCACTATAAACCTTTGAACAAATCATTACCCCTCCCTTCAAAATGACGTCAAGACAGAATGATGATTTGTAAACATCATTAGCAAAATCATACCCAAGATTTAAATATGCATTCTGTCGCCAACGTGGGGGTTCTTTGGAGTTTGTGCTCTAGTGTTGCAGAGTAAGGAGTTGATCCTTTGGTCGCGCGGCGGGTTCGACTCCCACTTTGGGACCTAGAGACCGGTACTTCAAACGACACTACACACACATATTAAGGATTTGATCCTTACGTCGCAGTACGACTCCCGCTGTTGGTACGTTAAATTGAGACTCGTATAAACCGAGGTCTGTGTCGCAGTAGATGCTGGCACGAAAAAGATTCCTCACTACTAAACATGTACAGCCCCGAGAGCCAAACATAGATAAAAATTTGCAGCTCTTAACTGGAAAGTGATGGTGTCTGCATATGAGTTAAAAGTTAAAAGAGGGACGTAAAAACATTAAACGAGGTCTGATTTCGCAGTAGGTGCTGGGACATAAAAAAGATCCCTTCCAGCTCAATAAATGTTTATAAGTGCCGATTATAGGTCTAAATTCTCGAGAGTGTTGTTAAACAACAAACAAACAACACTTAAGTCGTAAGCAACAACAGACTTAAGTTTTAAAACCCTCTGGATCGATATCAAGTCTTCGAGAACATGTTTTGTCAAACAGACAACCTTCAAACCACTTTTAGCAAACCTTAAAATATTCCCTACGCTGCAATAGATTTCTTTCGTTACTTTTAAATCTTTAAAATGTTTATCATTGGCGTGATCCTAGGTGTTATAGAAATTTAAATAAACAATTTTTTTGTCGTTTATATGTCTCAATGAAAGATTGTCCATTTTCTAGTTCATTATTTCAGGTTCCGGCTCATATTCCAGAGGAGGTAGTCAAAATTCCAAGATTAAGGTCCTCGTCTTGCTAGGTCGCCCGCGTGGCGCAGTGGTTAGAGCGTCTGCTCTATATAGAGCCGCGAAATAAGGAGTTGATCCTTACGTCGCGAGCTCAAATCCCACTGAGAGATGTGGAGACTGGTCCTTCGGATGAGACCGTATAAACCGAGGTCCCGTGTCGCAGTAGGTGATGGCATGAAAAAGATCCCTTCCTACTCAATGGCCCTAAGTGCCGAGTATAGGACAAAATTTGCAGCTCTCCACCGGCAAGTGGTGGCGTGAAAAATTGAGTGAAAAATTCTCGAGAGGGACGTTAAACAACATACAATCAATGAATCAATCGTTCTGATAGTGGTCAAATATATTTTACACCGAATGCTTTTAAAAATTATGACATCTTTGGGGCTCTGTGATGAATAAGCTGTAACAGGAATTCAGTTTAATTTAATTGCAAAATATACAAAAACATTCTGTCAGTGGAAAATTTATGAAAAAATGGCACATTTGTGCAGTATCTTCTAAATTCCAATGGATTTTATGAGATATTCAGAAACTCCATAATTAGATCCATACAATTATCCTTATTCGTGAAAATAGATCTACCCAGCCATTCTACCTTTGTAATAGACTGCTGGTACTCATAGTAAACTGACGATGGTATCGTATTTTAATGTTAATGGTTAATATTGATTTTAATTCCGTTAATTATAATAATAGGGATGTCACGGGACAATAACTGTATCAGTAACTATTGTGTATATCAAATAATCATTTACATTGACGATCTAATTGTTATATCCATGTCCCCTGATAAATCATGATTTGGAGGGTAAAACTTTCATCTGAGATTCTACAATTTAATTTTGTTTTGACTTTATATCATACGGAACCTAAAATTATATTATTCATTATTTTTTCTAAACAGTGAAAAGTTTCAAAAATGAAAGTTTGCATGGATTTATATTTTTTTCTATGGAATATATATCTTTTGTTTCTTTGGATGTTTGTTATTGTCCACCACACCGCAGGATTCAATGATACTGTTATTGAAACAACCGAGCTTGAAAATGCACTAAATAGTAAGTATCTTTCTTTTAAATCTTATCAAATTGATAAGATAACTAAGAAAACTAAAAGAAAACCAATACACACTCTGATAGCTTAAATATAAACTTTTAGTAGTTCTACTTGTCCCCTCTGCATGTATTGGTGCCAAAACATATCTAAATAAATGATAAACTAGTATTAAATAAAATAATCCCAAGGGTTATTCCTTTTCTCCAAAGTTTTGTTGAAGGAGAATTTGTCAGTCAAATTATATCTAATAGAGTATATTTATGTAAACTCTCCTAATTTTATTCAATATTATTGTACAGAAGTTTTGCCAAAGGTGAAATCCTTTCTCTATTTGATGACTACAGATAAAACATATTTTCATAAGACCTAAAAGTTTAATACCAGTATTGTGGAATTATATTTTGCGAAATACAATAATATGGGACAGAGTTTGTTTGAAATGAGATTAGATACTTTTACCAACCTCTTATGCTTGAATTGCCATTGAAATGCACCACTCTGTCTCAATATTTGCAATATTTTCATAACTTCATATCCTTTCAAAGTGCTGTCTCTATTATTGAGTCATGATTAAATCACGTCCCCAGCAACCACACCCAACCCCTTCAGTCTTAAAGAAATAGAAATGTATGATTTTTTAAATCACAAAAATCTACTTCAACAATAGATACAACCACTCAATCGTCAAAGATGACAGGAACAGAAACGACATTGCTTACATCAGAATCGGTTACAAATCAGCCTACAAAAGATACGTTAATTGCAATAGAATCTACAGCAAAACAACCTTCAAATGAAATAGAAGCGGGAACACCGTTATTGACAACTGAATCAGCTACTAAACAACTAATAAAGGAAAAACAGACAGAAACAATATTTATTACCACAGAATCACCAACAAAACAACCTTCAAAAGAAATACATGCAGATACAACATTACTTACGACAGAATCGGTAGCAAAGCAACCGATAAAAGAAACAGAAACAACATTACTTACAACAAAGTGGACAACAAAACAACCTTCAAACGAAATACTAGTAGAGTCGGCAACAACATTACTGACGACAGAATCAGATACAAAACTGATATTGACAGAAACGCAGACAGAAACAATATTACTTACAACAGACTCGGTATCAAAACAACAAATGAAAGAATCAACAACAGAAACAACAACACTTACGACAGGATCAAATACAAATCTACCAATTAAGGAAACCAGAACAGAAACAATTTTACAGACAACAGAATTTGAAACAATACAAACTACAAAAGAAACACAGACAGAAAATAAATTAAGTACAACAGAATCAGACATGAAACGATTGACAATAGAACAAAAGTCAGAAACAACAAAACTGACAACAGACTCAAATATAAATCAACATTCAAAAGAAATGACATCAAACTATTTGCTTAAAATAGAATCAGAGACAGATTTAACCACAATGATCGACAAAACAAAACTAGCATTAGAAACAACAACAGAGCAATTGTCAAAAATGACTGGTTCACAAATAAACACAACAATAACGCAACCAGTAATATGTGAAGAAGAAGAATCAAACACAAGTACTGAGACAGGGTTTGAATTTACAACAAAGGGGCAGATGATATCAGGATCAACTGATCTAGAACAAAAGACAACACTAGCATCGGAGGAAACAACATCAAACACATTATTATTAACACAGAATTCAATAAAATCGATCAAAATAGAATCAACATCAAAATCAATTACAGAATCTTCAACATTGTCAGAATCAACATTGAGGATTGAAAATGAAACAACACAAATGCCAACAGACTCAGACACAACAAGAAAAATTGCATCTTCACCAATAACGCAATCTGCAATAATATCAGAAAAAGAAACAACATCAGTGCTAACAGAGACATCACTATCATCAAAGAAAGAGACAACACAGGAGATCATATCCTCACCAACAACCGAAAAATCAATAGAGTCAGTCTCATCATTAATGACAGAATCAACAAAAGTGACAACATCATCTCCTATGACTGAATCAACAGCTGAGCCAACATTGATATCAGGAAAAGAAACCACTCCAATGCTAAAAGAGACATCAACATCATCAATGATAGAGTCAGCAACAGAGACAGCGTCATCGTTAACGACAGAATCAACTACAGGAACATCATTAACGAAGACAGAAACATCATTAATGTCAAAACCAACAAAGACAGACTCAACAAATACACCGAAGGCATTATCAATGAATGATTCCACAACAGAACCAATAAGTTCACATGTTATAGTATCTACAACTGATACAGTGTCATTGGCAATGACACAATCCACAACAGGTATTGTATCATCCTCAATAAAAGAATCTACAATTAATACAATGAGTAAATCAACAACAAAAACAGTATCATTTCCAATGACAGAATCAGCAAAAGAAACAGTATCACCAATAATTACAGAATCTACACCAGACACAAAAACTTCATCAATGAAAGAATCAACACAGGATACAATAAGCAAACGAGTAACAGAAGCCATACTAAATACAGTATCATTACCAATGACAGAATCTGCAAAAGAAACAGTATCATCAACAATGACAGAATCCACATCAGACACAAAAACTTCATCAATTAAAGAATCAACACAAGATACAATTACCTCATCAGGATTAAAATCCATGTCAAATATATCCAGAATCCCAGAGACAGCATCATCAACAATGGAACAATCCACACCAGATACAAAAACTTCAATAAAAACAACAACACAAGATACAACTACCCTACTAAAAGAATCAACAACCAATACAGGTATAGAACCAAATACAGAATCTTTCAAAGAGACAGCATCATTAACAATGACAGAACCCTTAACAAACACAATATCACCAGCAATGAAAGAATCCATAAAAGATACAATAACGACGATACAAAATCCATCCATGCCTGATTCAACAAAAGGAACACCAACAATATCAGAACATGAAACAACACCATCATCGCTAAAGACAGAATCAACAGAAGAAACTATATCATCACTGTTTACAGAAGAATCTGTAGGAATCTCGTCAGTAATGTCAAAATCAACAACAGAGACAGCATCATCATCATCAATAAAAAATTTATCAAATGTAACAGGTTCATCATCAATATCAGAAAACCTAACACAGACACAGACAGAAAGCTTACCAGTGACAGAAAAAGGAGAAACATCATTGACAAAATTAACAACAAATCAAGCATTAGCAATAAAAACGGAATCGACAGTTGAGAAATTGTCCTCATCAGTGTCAGAAAAAATAAAGGAGTCAACAGCACATTTAATAACACATTCAACAAAGGGAACAGAATTGTTATCAATGAGAGTAACAACAATTTTAGGTTCATCAGCTACAAAAACAAGATCAACACCATTGGCATTATCAACAGCAACAGCAGCACCTTCAATGACAGGATCAACACAAGGTGCAGAATTGTCATCAATGACAGAATCAACAATCGTATCAAAATCATTGTCAGCTACAAAAAGTGGATCAACACAATTGAAAGAATCCACAACAGATACAGTATATTTCCAAAATACAGAATCAAGAATCGAGGAAGTGTCGCTACCAATTAAAGAATCAACAATTAGGATAGTATCTTCATTAATAGAAGATCCAACTACAAAAAGAGTATCATCACCAATGAGAGAAACAAAATCTGAGACAATATCATCAATATCAGAGTCAACTTTATTATTTACAGAAGAAAACACTGCATCATCAAAGTCACCATTACTTTCAAGAGAAACATATACAACAGGCAGTGAAACAGCCTCAACAACGGCGACATCAAAGGACAAACCAACGATACATACGTCAACATCAGGAGCAACAACGTTATTGAAAAAAGATGCCACGATATCAGCAAGATCTGAAGCAGAAATAACAAAAACAATGAGAGTAACTACCACAGATTTAGAAGATGATTCCTTCTCCTCTTTGCTTTCAACTGATGCAACAGAAACCTCAATAAAAGAAGAGCCAGCAAAAAGCTCATCAAAAGACATGTCTTCAAAAGTAACATCAACAGAAAAAATCTTAATAGAAGTGTTGAAAGAAAAATCAACAAAAGACACAATAACAAAAGGGACATTTTCCACAGGGATACCAAAGGAGATTCCATCAACAGAGACATTAACAGAAATGTCCTCTAAAGGGTTGTCAACAGAGACTTCATCAAAAGGGGCGACAAACGAACCATCGTCAAGAGAAGTTACAGAGACATCATCAATAGGGCAGGGAACAAAAACTTCATCTCAGAGAGTCACCACAGAAGCATCATCAATAGGGCTGTCAACAGAGAATTCAATAGGATTGTCAACAGACACATCTTCAGTAAGATTGTCAACGGAGACATCTTCAGTAGGATATTCTGTAGAATTGTCAAAAGAGAAATCAACAGTAGGAATGTCAAAAGAAACTACCTCAGTAGGGTTTTCACAAGAAACATTGTCAATAGAGGAGTCAACAGAAACATCAGTCAGAGCACCTAAAGACACATCATCATATGATTTACCAACCGAGATAGCATCAACAACAGTATCAACAAAGACATTAATAAGTGAACTGATGGAGACAACATCAATATGGCTGTCAAAAGAAACATCACCGAAAGAGCTGGCTACAGAAACATCATCAACGAAAGTATCAACAAACCCATCATCAAAAGAAGTTTTACCAGATCCATCATCAACAGGAATTTCAATAGGGACAAAATCAGAAGAATTGCTGACATTTACACCATCAATAAGAAATGTAACAGACACATCATTGATGGGTATTTCAGCTCAAACATTAACAGGGGTTTCAACACAAACATTATTTAAAGAACAGTTTACAGAGACATCATCAAAAGGGATATCATTTGATACATTGTCGATAGAAAAGTCATCAGACACATCATCTAAAGGAATGTCAACAGACACATCATTAAATGGAATTTGGACAGAAACATCAACAAAAATGTCCCAGGGAACATCGTCAATAGGGTTGTCAACAGAGATGTCAACCGTAAGGCTATCAAGAGGAGTTTCGTTAGAGAAATCATCAGAAGAAATCTCGACAAAGCCATCATTAATAGGGCCAACAATAAATACATTAACAGCAGATGAGTCCACAGGAACGTCATTAAATGGAGCGTCATTAGAGACATATTCAAAAGGAGAATCAACGGAACCATCATTAATAGGTTTAGCAATAGGAACACCATCAGAGGCGGTGCTAATGGAGACATCATCACAAACATCATCAAAAGAAGTATTATCAGAGACATTTTTAGTATTGTCACAAGAGACTTCATCTATAGGGCTGTCAACAGAGAAATTTACAAAAGACGTGTCAATGGAGACATCATCCGAAGGAATGTCAACAGAGGCTTCAACAAATGGTGTGTTATCAGAGATATCATCAATAGAACATTCGGCAGAAACATCAAAAACAGAGTTATCAACACAGACAGCTTCATCAACTAGGAATCCAATAGACCATTCAATAATAGTGCAGTCAACAGAGACCTCAACAACTGAAAATCCAACAGATATATCACCAATAAAAGAAATTACAGAGACACCCACAAGCAATGTGTCTAAAGAGACAACACCAACAGGGATGTCAACAGAGCCATCATCATTAGGTTTATCGATAGGGATATCATCAGAAGGAGTGTTTGTGGAGACATCATCAATAGGAAAAGGAACAGAGACATCATCAAAAGGGGTTTCAACACAAACATCATCAAAACAAATATCATCAGAGGCATTATCAATAGAAGTGTCACCACAGACATCGACAATAAGTGTGTTGACAGAGAGATTGTCAAAAGACGCGTCATCAGAAAAACTATTAAAGGAAGTGTCAGCAGTGACTTCAGCAAAGGGAGTTTCAACACAAATAGGGATGTTGACAGACACATCATCAGTTGGGATATCAAAAGAGATCATATCAACAGGACCGTCAACTGTAACATCAATCTGGCCATCAAAAGAGATATCATCAATAAGGTACTCAACACAAGCATTATCAAAAGAACTTTTAAAAGAAACATCATCAATTGGAGTTGCGACAGAGGTGTCATCAATAGGAATGCCAACAGAAGCATCAACAATAGAAGTTTCAACAGAGACATCATCAAGAGGAAAGTCGATAGAGACTTCATCAAAAGGAGAGTTTCCAGGGTCATCATCAATAGGAGTGTCAACAGAAACACCATCAAAAGAAATGTCGACAGAAACTTCATCATTAGGAGTGCAGACAGATGGATCATCAATAGGAAAGTTGACAGAGACATCATCAAGAGGTGTGTTACTAGAGGCATCATCGATAGAAATGGTGACAGAAACGTCATCATTAGGAGTGGAGACAGATGCATCATCAATAGGTAAATCGACAGGAGTGATACTAGAGGCATCATCGATAGGAATGGTAACAGAGACGCCATCAAAAGTAGTCTCGACAGAGACATCATCAGTAGGAATGTCGAAGGAGAAGCCTTATTTAGGAGTTTTAACATGGGCTTCATCAATAGGAATCTCGACAGAGGCATCATCGAGAGGGGTGTCACCAGGGACATCATCAATAGGAGTGTCGACAGAGGAATCGCCAATAGAAGTGTCCACAGATACATATTTTGGAGTGTCACCAGAGGCCTCATCAATAGGAGTGACAACAGTTTCATCATCAATAGCAGTGTCGAACGAGACTTCATCGGTAAGGTTGTCACCAAGGACATCATCAAAAGAAGTGACGACAGAGGCATCTTTAATAAATACTTCGACAGAGGCATCATCAATAGAATCGTCGACAGAGGCATCATCAAGAACAGCATCGGCAGACACATCATGGAAAGAAGTGTCAGCAGATACATCATCTCATCAAGTGTTGACAGAGATGTCATCAATAGGAGCGTCCACAGAGGCATCTTCGATAGGAGAGCCGACAGAGGCATCATCAATACACTTGTCAACAGAGACATCATCAGTAGAGATATTGACAATGACCCCATCAAGAGAAGAATTAATAGAGGCATCGTCAGACCGAGTGTCGTCAGAGGCATCATCATTAGGAGTGTCGACAGAGGAAACATCAATAGGATTGTCGACAGAGGCATCATCGATAGTAGTGTCGACAGAGGCATCATTAAAAGAATTGTCGACAGAAACATCATCGAGAGGAACGTCAACAGGGATATCATCTATAGGGGTGTTGCCAGAGGTATCATCAATAGAAGTGACGACAGAAACATCATCAACTGATGTGTGGACGGAGAAGCCGTCATTTGGAGTATCGACAAAGGCATTATCAATTGAAGTTTCTTCTGAGGCATCATCCACAGGAGTGGTGGGAGAGTCGTCCACTAAGGGAATATCGACAGACGCACCATCATTAGGAGTGTTGACAGACACACAATCAATAGGACTGTCGATAAAGATATCAACAGTAGGAGTGCCGACAAAGACATCATCAGGGCTATCAACAGAGATATCTTTTAAAGACGATTCAACAGAGACTTCATCAACAGGGGTGTCGACAAAGTCATCATTAAAAGGAATATCAACATCATCCAATAGACTGTCATCAGACACACCATCATTTGGGCTGTCAACAGACTCAGCATCAAAAAAACTGTCTTCAGAAACATCATCAAAAGGTCTGTCAGCAGATTCATCATTAGGTATATCATCAGAGTCATCATCGATAAGGTTGTCCGTAGAAACATCACCAATGGGTCTGTCATCAGACACTTCAATAAGGCTATCAGAGGAGACAACATCAATAGGACTGTCTTCAGAGAAACCACCAATAGGGTTGTTATCAGAAACATCGACAAAAGGACTATCAAAAGAAACATCAACAGCAAGCTTCCAATTAGACAATTTGTCAGTAAAACTGTCAACTGAGACTTCAGACGGGATGTGGCTGTCAAAAGAGACGCCGTCAAAAGCGTTGTCAAGTGAAAGTTCATCAATAGGGCTATCAACAGATACATCATCAATAGGACTGTCATCAGACACATCATCAAAAGGGTTATCTTCAGAGACAACATCAATAGGTCTGTTACCAGATACATCATCTATAGGGCTGTATTTAGAGACATCAACAATAGGGTTGTCAGTAGAAACATCTTCACTAGGGTTGTCTTCAGCGACATCATCAACAGAGTTATCAAAAGAGACATCATCAAAAGGGCTGTTTTCAGAGACATCATCAATAGGGCTGTCAGGAGAGACATCATCAATAGGTCTGTTGGCGGAAATATTATCAATCGGGCTTTCAGAAGAGATATCACCAATAGGGTTATCATCAGAGACATCATCAATAGGGCAGTCTTCAGAGACATCATCAATAGGGCTTTCAGAAGAGACATCATCAATAGTACTGACATCAAAGACATCATCAAAAGGGGTCTCATCAGAGACTTCATCAATTTGGGTGTCATCTGCCATGTCATCATTTGGGCTGTCATCAGAGACATCCTCAATAGGGTTGTTTTCAGAGACATCGTCAATTGGTTTGTCATCAGAGACATCATCAAAAGTGCTATCAGATGAAACATCATCAATAGGGCTATCAGAAAAGACCTCATCAAAAGGGTTGTCAGCAGAGACATCAATAGGTTTATTACCAGAAACATCATCAATAGGGCTGACATCAGAGACGTCATCAATGGGGCTGTTTTCAGTTAAATTGTCAATAGGGATTTCAGAAGAGACATCATCAATAGGGAATTCAGAAGAGACTTCATCAAAAGGGTTGTCAGCAGATACATCAAAAGGTTTATTACCAGAAACATCATCAATAGGTCTATCTTCAGTGACATCATCAAAAGGTTTGTTCTCAGAGACATCATCAATAGGGCTGTCATCAGAGACGTCATCAATAGGGCTGTCATCAGAGACGTCATCAATAGGACTGTCTTCAGAGACCTCAACAATAGGGCTGTCTTCAGAGACCTCAACAATAGAGCTGTCTTCAGAGACGTCATCAATAGGGCTGTCTTCAAAAGGTTTGTTCTCAGAGACATCATCAATAGGGCTGTCATCAGAGACCTCATCAATAGGGTTGTCATCAGAGACATCATCAACAGGGCTATCATCAGAGACATCATCAACAAGGTTGTTCTCAGAGACATCATCAATAGGGCTGTCATCAGAGACATCATCAATATGGCTGTCCTTAGAGACGTCATCAATAGGGCTGTCTTCAGAGATGTCAACAATAGGGCTGTCTTCAGAGACGTCATCAATAGGGTTGTCATCAGAGACGTCATCAATAGGGCTGTCATCAGAGACGTCAACAATAGGGCTGTCTTCAGAGACGTCAACAATAGGGCTGTCTTCAGAGACGTCAACAAAAGGGCTGTCATCAGAGACGTCATCAATAGGGCTGTCATCAGAGACGTCATCAATAGGGCTGTCATCAGAGACATCATCAATAGGGCTGTCTTCAGAGACATCATCAATAGGGCTGTCATCAGAGACGTCATCAATAGGGCTGTCTTCAGAGACGTCAACAATAGGGCTGTCTTCAGAGACGTCAACAATAGGGCTGTCTTCAGAGACGTCAACAATAGGGCTGTCTTCAGAGACACTATCTTTTGGGATATCATCAGAGACATCATCAACAGGGATATCATCAGAGACATCATCAACAGGGCTGTCAGAAGAAACATCTTCAATAGGACTGTCTTCAGAAACATCATCAATAGGACTGTTGACAGATACAGCATCTATTGGGCTGTCGTCAGATATGTCGTCAACAGGGATGACAACAGAGACATCATCATTTGGGCTATCAACAGAACATGGATTATCTTTATCAACCTCATTTTCAACTAAAGAATCAGAAACTTTACCATCTTTATCGCCGACATTGTCATCATTATCAACAGACTCGGTAACATATGTAAGTTTATCAACTGAATCTATGAAATCAATTTCAACACCTTCTTCAGGAGATACAACTTCTCCTAAAACAATGGAGACAACTTCTAATGGAATCCTAACAACAGAGCAAGGATCGTCATTTGTACTAACAGAAGGAATAACGACTAATGCTACAAAAGTGGCAGAATCAACAACAACGACATTGCACGCATCAACACTAACATCAAATGGAACTTTTATCAAACTAGAACCCGTCCCAATATCAGTAAAAAACAGGATGGTGGATATATATGATGGAGTTGTTTTATCAGGACACGTTATAGTGGAACAGTACGTGTCGGGTCTCCAATTATGTGCTATGGAATGTTTAAAAACAGTGGATTGTCATTCTATAAATTTTATAAAAGAAAAAAGAGTATGTCAGTTGAATTCAGCATCATCAACTGATTCGATGAGTTTACATGCCATGAAGGGCAATCTGTTTACACGTAAAGATCAGTGGCCAAAGGTATGTACCCATCTTTTCTATGTTACGTATAATTTCTTTATTGATTGATGATGTCAAAGTGTATATGTCACAAACTATCTAAAAATCTGAAAGAATTTCCTTTCATCCATCTTGAATAAAATTCCGGTAAGATAGAAGTAAACATGAAATAAACATCGATAGGTCTGCGATTTAAATATCGGTATGACTAAATAGTCGGTAGTATTATTAACAATACTAGCAAGTATATTGCTATAAGTTACTTTTTATTTGATTAATCAGACATTACTAGGATATTGTCAGAACAAAACATGTGGTCCGCAGGAGAGGTGTATAGAGCTGCGCAGTAGAGCAGTATGTATCATTGTTAGTAAGTATTCGCTTCATCATCGATGATTTTGTGGTACTGTATACAGGGTAAATTTCGCCCTCGTCTTATTTTCGCCACAAGCATAGGTGGGCAATTTTAAAACGGGCCTTATGGAAAGAAACAATGTAATTTCTTAAACAGTACTGTGACTGCGAATTTGAAAAGGGGCAAATCGTTCGTAGTGTGAAAGGGCAAAAATAACACGGACCAAACATTGCCCTGTATACAGTATTAATGGCATAAGTATAAATTATTTTGTAAAAAATAGTCTAATCTTATTTTAGAGTAATTTAAATATATCAATTTAAAAAATATTAATATTTAAAAATCAATGCTTAAAAAGTAATGAGTATTTTCCCTCCATGTTTCCCGTCTTATCTACAGACTGCACAAAGCCTCCAACAGTCACAGATGCTTACACATCAGACTCTTTGGTGCATGTTGGTTCAAGAATTGCGTATAAATGTGTCCAAGGAAAAAGTCCCAATGTTTCAGAGGTAGCCATGACGATCATCTGTCGAGGAAATGGCCAGTGGACAGCAGTGCAATTTCAGTGTGTCTGATATAAAGTTTTACAAAATGCTGCCAATTTGTTATCTGTCATTGTTCATACTTCTTATAATTTGAAGAACTTTCTAATTTTTTTTTACTATAGAAAGAAAAAAAATGTGTAAAGAATCCAGATAATATGGCTTTGTCTTCATTAGGCTGAATTTTGCTTCTATGAAGTTTATTTAAAATGCCGTGTTACCATTACATCTTTTTACAACTCTGTTTTTAACTTTGTTTAGTCAAATTCATTTTGAATTTAAATCATTTAATGTCACTTTTTTTTAATGATATCATAAATCAGTAAAATTGTAAAGCTGCCACCGCTGATTAAAAGAACACACGTATAAAGTATATAAAAAAAATCATGCTTACTTTAAAGTATTCAAGGTGTGTTGTATGTTAAATAAATATACCTTAAGATTAACTTATAAAATGATATGATGTAAACTTTTAAAATTACATTAATTGATAAAATAAATATTTCCTAATTTGTAAAACTCATCCGTAAGATTCTGTTTTAATAAGGAAAAAACCGTATGCATTAAATGTATAGCAGTACCATATTAGCAATTTTTCCTACTGTATTGATTGTCAATGTAGCTATTACTTAAAATTATTTCACTGTTAATAATTGCAAACACTGACACCAGTAAGCTAGTATTTATTATTCATGACTAGTTTCTAGGATAACACAATAGTTCATTCTGAAATTGTTAAGTAATCTATCATTGTCATATAATCTGTTGTCAAAGGTGGATTCCAATTAATAAATCATTCTATAAATTCAGTAGTCACTGACCACAGAAATCTATATAGAAATTTGCTTCTCTTACTGTGTACAATTACAACAATGCTGTGTACAACAATGTGAGTACTCATGAAGATAATGGCCAGTGTTACAAAAAGATATCTTTTTGCATAGTCTACTACTCTACTTGTGTACCAAATACTGAAGTTCCAGGTCAAATTTAACAGATCCTTGTTAAAGAGAGAAAATACTGAACTGAACACATTTTAAACAAATTTGTGTATTTCTAGACAACAAATGTTATTTTTAGGATAGAGTGTATGAAAGTAAGACACATAGATGTACAAACTTTTGTCAATTACAAAAAATTAAAATGGCACCAGTTCCTACATAAATGAAAGAGTTTGGCAATGTAAAAGGAAAACTGTGAAATCAAATAGGGAATTAACTTGAGAGCAATTGTAAATTTTAGCATCCTTAGTTTTCATCCTTTTCGTTTTATTTTTGACATTCCATACATCTTCTTAAAATTAAACACACCAAAAATTAAAAGATTTCTCCAAAAATAAGCGGAAGAGATGCTATTTTCTGAAACGTTTTTATAGAAAAATTCTAAATTCAAACTACCGTGTGTATAGCAGTTCTAAATTTGATAATAGATTATAGTTTTATCTTTAATCCCTAAAACCATTATGGCAAATTTAAAGAATGTTTTCTTGAATTATTTTTATAATGTAATTCTTAGACTAAGTTAAATTAAAAAATCAATTCATTGAGTCTTGAAGAATTTTTTCTTCTTCTTTTTTTTTTTAATTGAGTGACTTCAAATTCTCTGACCAGCAGAGAAATAGCAAACACTAAAAGGATATTACATCTATAAATAAATTATTCACTAAAAGTGTCTTTTTGTCCTTAAATAGCAAGTGTTTATAAAGCATCGTAACTCTGGACCAGATTTAGAAAGCATCTTTATCCTGGGCTAATTCCCTAGCACGTTTCTAAATCCTCCTCACACTGGACCAGATTTAGAACGCATCTTTATCCTGGGCTAGTTCCTTCTCCCTCCTTTCCTCTCGCCAGGTTTGCATCAGTTTTATCATGGCTTCACTCTTTTCCTGTTGTTCTTTGGGAGATAACTTCTCAAACTCTCCCGGCTTAAGGTGCTGACCGAACAACTGTTTCTATAAAGCAAAATTTAAATTTCTCAAAAAACATGGGAAAAACAAACAAACAAATCTAGAGCGAAATCATGATCTTCCAAACATGCAGAAAATATTATGCGTCTATCTACCTGTTAATTCAAAACTGATGCAGAATTTAATGGAAGAAAATCATTTCCTAATCCACCATGTTTTCAGAAACATTCATAACAGATTTCCACATAAACAAATATAAGCCTGAATTACTCTTAATGTGTCATTCCTCTTCCTTCTTGTGGCATATTTGTCCAGAAAGATTTCCTGTGTGATCTCACTCATAACACTGAGTCTTACCTGATCTTGTTTGATGTCCTTGACATTTTGTATGAGGTAACCCTGTGTGGCCCTGTCTTACCTGAGCTTATTTGATGACCTTGAAATTTTGTCCTACCTGAGCTCGTTTGATGTCCTTGACATTTTGCCTTACCTGAGCTCTTTTGAATTCCTTGATATTTTGCCTTACCTGAGCTTGTTTGATGTCCTTGGCATTTTGCCTTACCTGAGCTCGTTTGATGTCTTTGACATTTTGTATGAGGTAACCCTGTGTGGCCCTGTCTAGTTCTTCTTTCTCCACATATTGATCCTCTGCATGAGCAACTATAGAAGGAAACCTCTTAAATTTTACATCTATGTCATATGTTGTACAAAAAAGCCTGGGTTTCACATAAGTTAATTACTAGACTTTCATTTTCATCAAATATTTTCAAAAACTTGCAGCTCAAGATAAATTTTATGTGGTTTTAAAATATCTAATTCTAAAGCATACCTTTATTCAGGCCTAATAAAACCCGATTAAGGAAGTCTGCCACGATTTTGTTTTTCTGTTCCACTGGTGTTTGTACAGGGGTCGGGGTCCTAACCTCCTTAACCACCATCACCGGGGGCGGCGCGTGAGTGGAGACCCGAGAAGGGGGTGGAGCAAGAAGTTGACGACTGAAAATAGTTCATTTTCTAAAACCACCATATGAATAACACAAAAATGACAGAATTTTTTTTTTGAAAATTGTATTTAAAAATTAATCTAAAAAAAAGAAAACTTAAACAAAATTGAACTGACATTCTTCAACACACTATACCTGACATATGAAGACACACTTGGGGTAGGACTGTATGCAGGAGTAGGCTGATAAAAGAAATTAAAATGTATCCTTAATGTGATTGGTCAAAGAGATTCATCAGATTCTATGAAATATTTTCAGTAACTGTGAATTAATAAGTAAATATTTGGATGCTCATTAAAGCTTACAGGTTTTTGGTTCTTTAAGGCGGCAATCTCGAGCCGTAAATTTTCTATTTCCTGTGCTGCTCGTCTCTCGGCCTCCACTCTCCGTCTTCTCTCCTGTTGGAGTCAGTATAGAATAAGTTCATATATCTATGTGTAGTATGTTATCTAATTTGCTTTATTTGGAAAATCATTTGGGTTAAATGATTCAAATCTGAACTGATTAAATATAATTTTCTTTGACATGAATACTCAATGCAGGTATCTACAACATTTTTTTTAATTTTTGCATCAAAACATATTTTTAAATTTCATGTAACCTTAAGCCAGGAAATGTAACTGCTTTAGGAGAAGTGATGTAGATATTTTGTCTAGAATTCATCAGTCAGGTTGACCCTGTGACCTACTGACCTCCTGTATCTGCTCCTCTAGTTTGATCCGCTCCTGTTCCACTCGTTGTCTGTCAAGGGCAGACAACTTCAGGTACTCCTCCTCTTCCTCTCTGACAATGAAATATCATGACAAGTTTGTATGGAGTTATGAACAACATCAAGCTGACTTGTAAATACTTGAGAAACATCAGACCTGGAAACTTGTCTATATCATCAGAATTATGTTCATCAAATGGTGAAATGCACTGTAGTATAACAAAACCACTGACACTGCTCTACATTTTCTGAATACATACATAATGACAAAATGTCAAAAAGTCCAAATTAAAGAAAAAAAACACATCATCAACAGCAACAAAAACAACAATTCAAAGAAACAGAAAAATTAAATCAAGCTGATATCTCATGCCATTATCTAACATCTGTGAATAACTAAATCCATACATACATATGTAATTATTTAGATTTCTATGAGATACCAGGCAAATGAATTATTTTTGTATTATACTACAGCAATTATAAATACTCACTTCCCACTATCCATGTTAATTTTAATAAAATAAGAATTGATCAAACAAGTAATGAATTTAAATACATTAAAGTAAATAAACTTTACAATAGGAGTTCCCATATATTCAAAATAATGAAGTTTACTGCATAAGTAACATGGAACATAACATCTTAAAATTCTTAGGAACTTCACTTACTTAGATTTGGGAATATTTATAAAACCATAAAGTCTCAGTCTATGCCTAAAAGTACAATTAAGAGCATATGCTTTGTCAAAAATAGAACATTTTTGGTCACTTAATAAGAAATCCAAAATTTCTAAAAATTTTACTAATCTCCTAACCCCCTCATGTTGTACGATTTTAATGTCCTACAGATGGGTTCTCTCTCTTACCTTCTGTCTCTAGCTTCCTGTTCTCTCCTTGCTGTCTCTGCATCCTTCTGTTGTTGTGCCAACCTAATTACATAGAAAATCAAATCAAATGCCCAGTTCAAATTGCTTAGGTACTTTTTTAAATAAAATTTTGAATACGTATGCTACATGTTGAGAAGAGAAATACAATGTAAGAGATTGTATTTTTCCTTAGAAAAAATGTTCACATAATTTTTCACATAAAAATGTTCACACCTTTCTCTCTCAATTTGTCACATAATATTGCAAAAGTTTGCTATACACTTATCTGTACTTTCAAAGCAATATCTAATCTATTATATATTTTCTAAAAAAAATTCCTGAATACCTGGATCACTTTGTAGAAAAAGATATCAGATAAAAGTTGCTACAGTCTGAACTGCTGTTTGTACAAGGGTTGTTCGATATGTATTGTGTATTGTACGATATCTCAAAAGCATTCGATTCAAATAGTGACATTAGCCTTCCGTCGGTCCTGGGGTTTAGTAAAGGGAGGGATGACATCATTGTACCAGTGCCTCCATGGAGGGTGCAGAGCTGCAAAAGTTTGCTCTACACTTATCTGTACTTTCAAAGCAATATCTAGTCCATTATATATTTTCTAAAAAAAATTCGTAGCTGAGCGGTTTGTATTTGTACCTTTTTTTGGTCATCTGTCAATATATGGGGTATCCATCTGGGATCACTCGACCCGATTTTGCTGCATCTTTTGCCAGTCAGAAATTTCTGTCTCCACCTATGAACTGTCTCATAAGATACCTTATCAGAAAGATATCAGATAAAAGTTGCTACAGTCTGAACTGCTGTTTGTACCGGTATATAGCATACCTTGTGTTGGATCTAAGACAGGAATGGCAGCCTTAGAATCTCTAGTGAGCATGGAAAACAGGTCCTTATAGTAGTACTGCTTAACCTGGTAAAACAAGATCCAACACATGATTATACTACACTACTAATTGTAGTACTGCTTAACCTGATAATACAAGAACGACATGATCATACAACAACTTATAGTAGTACTCTTAACTTCTGCAGATTCTTTCTGAATCAGATTTTTTACCTCGTACTGTATCTGTGGCACTGTCAGTTTACAACTCTCTGTTTTTAGGATTTTTTCTAACATAGCAGGCTGCGAAAAAAGATTATAATGGATATAAAACATGCATTTCATCTGATTATTTGCATCTTGTGATATTATTTCTTTTCTTCTGTATAATATTACTTATATTCCACATGACCACTGTGATCATTAATAGTTTAATTTTACTGACTGGTAAAACATTCATGTAATTTTCACATATGATTCAAAAACTGAATATCTAGAGTTCTTTCCCTCTATCATGAATGAAAACTAGAAAACCTAACATAAGTACATATAAATGTAGTTCCTGCAAATATTACGGTGCCTGACTTTACTCACAGATGTTGCCTCTTTGATTTTATCTTTAGTGAGACCCAGTATAGTCACTAGGACTATGGCCAGCCACTCTGTGGAGAAGCCAGGGGTGTCCAGCCCAATGATGTAGTTATCCCACACATACAGCAGTGTATCTCGGTTCAAGTAGGCTGAAATGTTTAAAGACATGTTATGTACATGTATATGTATTCTGTGAGGAAATATCATTATTCTGTAGGAACCCACAAGTTCCATTTAAAAGGTCTCTCCAGTTGAGCGAAAACTAGAGAAATTGTATTCGGGTATACTAGTAGGATACTTGTAGTTAATTAAATAAGATTGTTCATGTTTTCCAATATGTATTGTAGCACTTGAAAATGAATTAATCCCTCAGAGAAATGCTGACACTTACTGACAAAGAGACTTCTTAACATAGGGCGACAAATCTCCATCAGGCCTTCTCTCAGTAAGGCTTGATTACCCGTCTCTGTGGCAACAATCTTCTCTGTAAAACAAAGCCAACTACAAATAAGTAATCTGTGAAATGTGGGTTTCATAATCAGATAAGTGTAAGTTCTCAGAGCTGACCTTTTGATGGGCTGAATTTGTCCACAATGTTTTTGACTGATTCTGGGTATTTAGCTGAGAGCATTGTAGCCACTTTGTCAATGAATGCTCTTACTTCCTCATTGTGCAACTGAAATAAAGCTTTATCTATATTGATAGTTCTATGAAAAAACGCTTTGAGATCATTATGCTGAGATAGTTATCATTGAATGAGTTTGCTTACATCAGATCCAGAGTCCTCTACAAATCCTGGACGTCCGCCCATCAATGTCTCAAACTCCTCCACCAAAAGGGCCACAACTCTCCCCGCCGGTGGTTCTTTTCTACAACAGAAAGACATATCATGTTATGCAACTATCCTATAGGTCTGTTAGATCAATTGCTCATGAACCCATATTCAATTGCAATATATACCAGTATATATATTTTTTTTTAATTATTAAGAGTTTTAAAGAGAAATGACCTGTTAAGACATTTTACTTATCTAGGCATTCTTGGACTTTACCTACTTAGGTATACTTGAGGTTTACTTACCTAGGTATACTTGAGCTTGCCACCTCCAGGAATGGGACGACCAGCAGGTGATCAACATCTCTCAATCTGTTCTTTGTTTTCTGAGCAGAATGGTGATATGACAAAACAGCCTTCATTCCATAGAAATTACCTGATCAAAATCATTACACAAAGGATCAAACTAAATAATAATGTCAAACTGTATTATTTAATCAGAATTACATTATCTAATTTTTTTTTTAAAAAAAGGCTTCTGGTATTTATCGATAAAAAGACCACTATCAATTAATAATAGTTGTATTGGTTTATTGGATCCAAAGAATGAGAAATCACATTTGTTCAAATTTAGAAATGTAATAACCTGTTGTAATGCAATTGCCTTTGCTTTGTTTTATGACCAAAATTCTTACCCACAGATCCCCTGAGATCACTAAAGGTTGGCTCAGAGTTGATGAGTTGTTCACACTTCTGAGATATCTCATAATCATACTGAGATATTGCAGCTCTCGGATTTGTGTTCAACAAGTCTACATACTGCTTTCTCACTGACAAAGATAAAAATTAATTTAGTTTTTTAATGTATAAACTTATTATAATAGTGTGGTATAACTTAAAGCTATAGAATCTACATAACCTGACAATTCTCAAAGATACTGATACTGTATACAGGGAAATTTTCGCCCCCATTTTATTTGCGCCCCTTTCGCCCTTACCTCGAGTGGGTGAATTTAAAACGGGACAAATTCAAAGAATACAACATAATTTCTTAAACAAAGGTGTGACTGGCTGAATTTAAGACGGGGCAAAATTGTTTGCATGATTGAAAGGGCGAAAATAAAGTGTGGCGATAATAACCCTGTATACAGTAATAAAAATTCTCCAATGAGCCTGAATTAAAAAAAAAAAACCACTTGATTCCTTTTCATAAAGCAACAGTTACAATGGTGTGGTCATTTACCGTAAGTGTTTCATATCAAGAATATAAGGACACTGTTAACATCCTACAATGAACACTGCTACAATATAAGTACAGAACATACAGCCAAACACAATACTAGATATACTCACAGTGATAACATGCCAGGTGGTGGTTACACTGTACAGGTTAGCATTAACACAGAAAGCAAAGCACACTTATTGATTTCATGTATCAGCACATGTGACAATATATTATAGGTTTATATGTGTGTGATAAAATATATGAAGATATATATTGTCAAATCAACCAATCTCATTCTCTCCTCCCTGTGCAAAACCTTAAACCAATTTTTTTTGTTTCTTTTTGAATACCATATTGGTCCCTTTCTAATATTGTTCTGACTTACAAGACCATAGATATTCTGTAATTTGTCATTATATGCAATTGAATAAATAAAAATTAATCATTTAAATATGTACATATGTATTTTCAAAACATGCAGCAAATGAATACAAAATTAATGATGGCATTGACAAAGTTCATCACTGACTATATACCTTTGGTGTTACTGAGATAAAGTCGCCAGGCCAGCTGACGAAGTGGAGGGGGGAGGGGCTGATTTAAACAAACATGAAGTTTCTCCTTCATCTCTGGCCATTTCTTCAGCAGGCTAAGTGCTCCTTCTTCAGCATTCTCAATAATAAGATCAGACTTTGTGTCGATCGGTGAATCTTCTAGGAGCTGTCTGGATACCTCTTCATTTAGACTTTGGTCCATCAACAGGGACACCTTCTTCATTAAGTTGTTGTATGAGGTCCCTAAAAATATTGAATCATGCTTAAAGTTACACATAAATGTGGTACATGTTTCCCCAACATCTTAACAAAATCTGAATGTTTGTATAACAAATCCTCATGAGAGTTTAGAACATTTTTACTGGGGCCAAGGAAAACATTTGTTATTAGTAAAAAGGTCAAACCTCCTTCCAAAGCTTTTGTTGCTCTTTCCATGAAGAGTTCTTTCTCTGGTTCTGACAAGTCACTGAAATACTGGACATGACTTTCTGTCAGCTGCTGCTGAATCGCATCATGTAACTCCCGCAGAAAAACATTCCAATCCTAAGAATTCAGATAATTCATATAAAACTTCATTTATTAAAGAATGATTCATAAGCTTGAGTCTTGGTGTACCATTGATAATAAGTTTGTTTTATTAACTTTTCTTATATCACAAAATTTGTTATGCCTTAATGAAGAACTACCAAAACCAGATAGGTTCATTTTTGACAGAATAATCAATAAAACAAAAACTAACTCGTTATAACAAGATAATTAGCATTTAAGTACGAGTTAGTATCTCATTATTATGGTTATAGTTTTCTCATATAATTAATGAAATAATTATCTCATAATAATGAATTTGTTATCTCATATAATGAGATAACTAATTCCCTATAACACGATTATGAACTCGTCAAAATAAGATAGGAACACATTAAATTAAAAATAATTAACTAGTTATAACAAAATGACTAACTTTTTTGAGAAAATACTTATTCATTATAATGAGATAAGTAACTCTACATAACGAGTTAAATATTTTTTTTTAATCTTCTTAGAAATGAGCCCATCTTGCTTCTGTAAAGGGGATATCAAAATTGACAATCATTTTTCAATTTTCTACATTCTTTTCTAACTCATTACTAGTTGTATTTATGTAGCCCTCTCCTACTTTTTTTTTTTGATCTGATACCCCCCCCCCCCCAAACACACACACAAAAGGGGGATGGCTATATTATTGCAGCTAACTCATGACTTATCTCAAAATATAGTGTCATATTGGATTCTTTTATATATCAAGTGATAAATCATTAGACGATGTACACGTTTATGAACAATATTGGCTCTTCAGCTTTATGTTATTGTATACAAACACTATACCCTCACCATCTTTCTGGTCAGTTTCCCTCCCCATACGAACGATAAGTTATCTATTGTTATCAAAATACTTGAGAAAATACTTAAAGTAATAATTTTTCTTGAAATCAAGCCTTTCACCTTCGAATCGCCGATGTTCTGTTTGCAATTTAATAACCATTTTGGATATCCTTGCGGCCCAGTAGCCATTTGTAAACAATTTCGATGTGAAGGTGCTTTTGTGCAACACGCGGTTCGATTGGCTAATTACTGCCGACTGATCAATCGGCAGCTCGCTTACTTGAGACGTTCGACAACATCGGTAAACAGAGCAGAAGGAAGGCCACGACAGCACTAGACAGGCATCATGTTCTCTGTCAAAGTTATGCCTTGGGTTTTACTTCCTTTGTTAATTGGTAATGTATGAATTTAACCGAAAAGGTTCTCACTTTTTAAAGCAATCGCTATAGTCCATTTATAATTTTACTTTGTCAACCGACCAGGTCATGAACATGGATTTAGAGATGAAATGAAAGATTAACAGCATGCAGCTCATATAAATGTACATCATTGATCAGCTTATTTTGGTTAGCATTAATTAAGCTAGTCTCATATTCTTGTCATATACTTTGAATGCATTATTCTTAGAAGAAGTGTAAAGCTTTAAGTTAATATCTACATTAACTGTTTAAATAAAGACATACATTTTGAAATCCCACACACTTTGCACCCAGTTTGACCCTTTTCTGACGGTTACTTAAAATAAAATAAAAGGATGTTCATTTACTTTTTCATTGATTCATTTTAGTATTACTAGTAGTAAAAGCTGCAGAGAAAGAAAAAGTTGCAAAGGCCAAGCCAAAAGGTAAGAAATCTTTCTTCTTTCAGGTTCAAATTTGCAAATCAATTATAAAGTTGACAATGAAATTTATTTTTTTTATGTTTGAGGTATGTTTATCATATTATAAAGTTGATGTACTAAGTGCGTAATGATCATGAATTATGTTTGTAGACTTGAGTTTGAAGGACATTGCCTTTGTTGTTATCAGTCAGCCGAACTCTTATAATCTACAAAGGTCCTCAGAGTTCAAGAAACATTTTCAAGAACAAGTTAAAGATTTAAAAAAGGTGTGTTCAATTTTAAAGATTTCTCTTAGATTTTTCATTTATGAAGAAATTGAAAGAACAACCATAAGACATTTATGCCGGCTGTTCAATCCATTTCAGTGATTGAATAAAATATATTTTAAACCAATAACAATTTGTAAGAACATTATTTGCCATGTTTTATGGAAAATAGTTTTTTTTTAAAATGATTTTGATTTATGTGCTTGCAAAATTTATATCTAAATAGAATATCATTTTAATTAAAACATTGCTCTTCTATTACATAAAGGATGAAAGACCTAGACTATACTTTACTCATGAAAACTGGGATTTGATAGGAGCCTTCACAGTTCTGCCCCTGATGCCAGTGTGAGTACTAAATAGGTGATTACATTTCAAACAAAGATTATAAAGATTTCAAAAGACAGACACATTACATGGTAGATCAAGGGTTGTGACTCATATCTGGGTATAACAAATTAGTACTGGGAAAAAAATACCATGTTAAAATACTAAAAACACTGGTAGACATATTTTTCAGAAAATACATGCAACTGTTCTTTATTTGATTAGGTTTGCCAAAGACTTTCAAGAATTCTCTTGGATTTTCATATGTGAAGAAGAAACAAGATTGGATGTTTTCAAACTCTTGGATGTTCTGCGAAAATATAACCCAAAGAAGGTTTGGACTTACATTCATCATATAATGTACATGTACATAGTTTTATATATGCCTGGTTTAATTAGTTGCAGATCTGTAACTCAATGGTCTGGAAAAAAAGTTGGGATGAATGACCGACCAGAGAGCTACAATACTATCCACTGAAAAAGTGTATGGTTTATTTATTGTACAAAAAAGAGAGCTGTTTGCTCTGTTAACTTCTGCATATATTTATGCTGTCATCACAAAATATTATTAGCTGTGTGTTCCTAGAATATTCTTTTATGAATTCTGTGACAAAATAATCCCCCAAAATGTTCTAATAGCCATCCTGGGAAGGAAATTGGGACCATCAAAATTTCACCTACATGTAATTATACTGGCATTTTGAGTGACAAGACAGTTTGGTCCAACATGCTTAATGCATGACTTGTACATGCTTCTTTGTAGTGGAAGTGGTTAAAAAGTATATATTAATACAAAACATGGTTATAAATATCTTGAAATATGCAGAGAAATAAATGTAGAAGTGGCACTCTTTTTTGTGCAATAAATATACACTTTTTTTTTTCAATGGGTGACATGTACTGTATCTCTTTGGTTGTTCATCCCAATTTTTCAGACCAACCAGCTACAGATTTGCAGGTAGGTTTTATAAAATGGAAATATCAATTGATCTTTTAATTTGAGTTTCCTTTTTATATACAGGAGTACTTCCTGGGTAAAGCTCTTAGAGACAGAGAAGCCACCATTATACACCATTTTGCCAATGCTAATAATCCATCAGCCTTTGCCTTCCCTGACTTTGGTGCTGGGATTGCTCTAAGCAAAGGATTGTTTATGAGGTATAGATTAAGAATTATTAATGTTTCTGTTAGCATTAAATACAAGTTCCAGAACTAGCATTAATTAGTCTCATTTTTTAAAGTGTAGGACAAAGATGGCCAGATGACTCTGTTAGGTCAGATTTTACCATAGATCCCAAGCATGAAGTAAGTTAATGATAAAATGAAGTATTGAGAAAAAGAATGTTCATCATTCAGTATACCCATAATTGATTATGACAACCTATGATGTTATGTGAAAATATTATTTCTATTTGACAGCTAGCTGTGGTGCTACAGAATGGTGATAAAGGAGTGAATCTAACAGAAGTACCAGAGTTATGTACCTTTGACTACAATGAAAAGTGTGCATCTTGGTATCCTGTAAAGTTTCCAGATTGTGTAGGTACAAATGGTACAGAGTTAAATGGGCTAACTTCTTGTGATTAGGAAAAGCTACACAGACTTGTTTACTTTTACATTTGATATCTTAAACATTATGTCTCAGTTACAAAGGGTATGCTGAAGTGACTGAGTTGGAGGTCCAATCTCTCTTTCTTTCTGTATTTTTACCTTAATATCTCAAATCTTCATTCAGATATCTCAAAGAGTCTTCTCTTGTCCCATCGCTTTTGAGATGATACTGTTTTAAACTTGATGTTATTTTCAGCTCAGAATAAATAGAAAGCATGAGTCATTCAAAGGGTACAAATTTTAAGAATGCACAATCTGATGGACATTGTTTTATAACATTATAGGGACCAGAAATTCCTGAAGACAAATTGTTTGTTGGAGTGAAGACTTGTGAGAAGTTCCACACAGACAGAGGTAGCTATTACTTTCTTATTCCAAAAAAAAAATTGTTTGCGGTAATTGTTAGATTGTTCTAAGTCATTTTACATGACATTGCAGTGTGAATCTTTGTTTATTGCTAATTTATAATATAATACATCATGTAGTGCCCATTGTGAAAGAAACTTGGGGAAAAGACACAAAAAACATTGAGTATTTTAGTGAGAAGGAAGACCCTGACATTCCCACCATCAGCCTAGGGGTCCCCAATACAGAGAGGGGTATGGTTCATTTAAAGTCAGCATGTTCAAAGCATTTACAGCGTATAACAGTAAATGTTAATTTCTTGTACATAATTTGAGTCATAGGTGTTTGTTAACTCTCCTAGGGCATTGTGGGAAGACTATGGCTATGTTGAGGAGATGGCACAAAGACAAGAAATATGCCAAGGCCTCCTGGTTTTTAATTGCAGATGATGACACAATTATCAAGTGAGTGGTGTTTTGTTAGTCAGTAAAAATTATGTACCGGAGATACAAAAATTATTTAATTTGATTGCATTTCACATTTTTGTCCTGTTGATTTTCCAGTTTAAAGAGACTGAGGAAGTTACTGGCTTGCTATGATCCTAAGGAACCTGTTCACCTGGGGGAAGTTTATGGTTATGCTATAGCCAAGAAAAATTGGGGCTATACCTACATCACAGGAGGGGGAGGGTAAGTAAGAGGGAATGACCATCTTGTGAACCTAGCAAGTACAGAAGGCTGAGAAGGCTTTTTAAGTCTACCCCCCAAACCAATCAAGCAGACAGAATGGTTATTCTGGAATAAGAAGGTCCCAATCGAGTGGGCGCCCCAGTACTGGAGTATTGGGATGAATTTTTACTGAACTTTCTGCTCTGTCATTGAGTTGTAGAGATTTATCTGTCATTTTCAGGATGATTTTCAGCAGAGAGGCCATTAATCAGTTGGTGATAAATGGTGAGGCTGATTGTCATGCCGATGATTCTCCTGATGATATGACACTTGGAATGCGATACAAACGGCTAGACATCAGTTTGGTTCACAGCCCATATTTCCATCAGGTATGTAACAATTCTAAATCTGGTTAACTTTCTGTATAAGGAAAATGTTCTTGAGACATAATTCCTGCAGGTGACACATTTGAAATAGGTTATTCATTATGAATTTTCTCTAAAGTTGATAGAGAAAATCTGAGTCTATTTGATGCACTGTTTTCATTTCATAACACATAAAAAAATTTTTGCCCAGGCTCGACCAGTGGACTACAGTGTAGACTTCCTGGCCGCCAGAACTCCTCTATCATTCCACAAACACTGGATGTCAGACCCCAGGGCTGTGTATGCTGACTTAATGAAGGAAAACACAGATAGTCAGACAGACAAGGTGTCCACTACAACAGAGAAATCTGAAGGAGAGCATGAAGAGTTATAGTGTTATAGTTATTACTGCAATCAATCAAATACAGAGGGAAAAAATGTTCTTGATTTCATTTAATATACACATGCTTTATTCTGTGGGTTTATAATTCTGTGGGATTAACAAATTCAGCTTGATCAGGAGGTCATTAATTAATTCCACTCATATCCATTGTAATTTTAGTGGAGGATAGAATCTACAAAAGGCCCATATATTTAAAAAAAATCTTAAAATATATATTTAAATGCTAAAGTTGTTGTTTCTGTTTTAAGAAACCTAGATCTTTTAAAGAGTAATGAAATTTAAGCTGCCAAAAATACTGCCAAACAATGAAATGTTTTTAGTTTTTTGTATTTCATATCATATATGGAATCCATGATTAATAATGATGGTGACCATGCATGGAAAACTTTAAATTTACTTTAGATAAATTTTAACTCTTCCATGGCAGACACTTTTTTTATCTTTGGTGTACTTGTATATGTTTACTGTCTGATTATCAAATTACAGATATTTGTAAAATAAGTTAACATCACTATGCAATTCATCAAGTACAGGGTAAATACATTTATAGATATATCCTTTTTTATTATATCCCGAAGTTTGGGGGGGGGTATATAGGAATCAGCTTGTCCGTCTGTCCATCCATCCATCTGTCTAGCTGTCCATCTATCGATCTGTCTGTGCAAATGTGTCCGGTCCATATCTTTCTTATGGATAAACTTGGTAGGTTCCCATTTCACACAAAGATTGCTCATGACCTAAGGGGGTGTCATGACCTTGACCAAGGTAATTTGGGGAAGTTCAAGGTCACTGAAAGAAAAAAATCATTATTCGTGTTTGGTCCATATCTTTCTTATGGATAAACTTGGTAGGTTCTAATTTCACACAAAGATTGCTCATGACCTAAGGGTGTGTCATGGTCTTGACCCAAGATCATCTATGCAAGTTCAAGGTCACTGAAAGAAAAATTACATAATTCGTGTCTGTTCCATATCTTTTATATTTATTTTATCTACTACTTCACACAAACATTGCTTATGACCTGAGGTTGTGTCATGACTTTGAACCAAGGTCATTTATGCAATTCAAGGTTACTGACAGAAAAAGTTCATAATTCGTGTCTGGTCTGTATATTTAGTCTATTTTTTTTTATTAGGCTGCACCTTCGTTTCATTTATAAAAAATATAATGAGCAATTACATTTGCACTTAAAATGTTTTAGCATTTCTCTCTTCTCTTAGATCCATAAAATATTCATGATTTAGCACTTTTGAAAAACCCAGCGGGGTGTATTTTGTCCTGTTTGGACAGTTTTAGTTGATTAATGTCGTTCAATTTGAAAAAATAAAAACTGTCTTTAAAACAGAAATTGTGAAATCTCTTTTAAGTCATTATTCATATTGATGTGAATTGAAAATGCAATTAGACTTTCTTAGTTGTGAATGCAATGGAAAACAGTACCCCGGTATGTATCAGTGCATTGTTTATCAACTGCTAATTTTGAGATGTAATGTTATAAATCTGGACATTCTTATAGAGAGATGTTTTCTGTCTGATGTGTTTAGTGTGTGAGCAATGAAGATATGTAACTGAGGTTTTTTGTATTCATGTTGCAATTGTTTTGTAAGTTATTAGGGCCCCGCAAGGATTTGCGGGTGCCCTATAGTAATCACTCTGTCTGTCCGTGTGTCCGTCTGTCATTCTTCCGTCCACAAATTTTCTGTTTTTTCCTAATAATTTTTTTTATGGTTGACCAAATAAGTTCAAATTTGGTATGGTAGTTCAGTAGGCAGAAAGACATATTTTGATGCTAAGTTTGTTTCTCTATGTCCTCTGGTTTGGAGCTGGGGTGGTGGGGTAGATTCCTTAACTTTATATAAGAATGAATTGGCAAAGAGAGATAACTGCTGAATATGTTCCCATTGTAAACGGAATACTGCAATGAGTCCCTTGAGATTAATTAGCTTTCCTCCTGAAGAAAATCCAGAGCATTATCTTTATCTGTCACATTGAGATGAATTACCACCTCTGTCTGCAAATGAAATTTGTAGTCAATTTGGAATGCTATGAAAACTCTGAAACGTGGAGTTAAGTATAAATGTTTATACTTTATTTTTGTTAAAATATCCTACACAATGAGTTCTGATTTCATTGAATTCTAAAAATATTTGCTTTATGTAAATTCAAGAATATTATTATCAATTTTTAAGGTACCTTGATAAAAACCTCATTCTATCATTAATGAAAAAGTTCTTCTTGTAAATTTAAATGAAAATGATGAGAGAGAAGTACAATTAATCCCTTGGGATTAATTATCTAGCCAGACTAGCCTGCTGTAGAAAATTTGGAAGGCTTATCTTTAGCTGTCACTTTAAGATTAATGAAAACCTTTTTCTGCAATTGCTGTTTGTTTTGAAGTTAAGGTCAAGCCTTCATGATATTTGCATTCATTGAAGGAACATATAGAGTTGTTCTGAATTGTTTTGAATCATTCCGCAAGCTGCACCCATATAATTCTATCCCATGGCGGGGCCCTTGCTGACTGGTCAGTTTTCTAGTTTTCATGTATATTCACCAATGCCAAGACAATGATGGACTATAAAGTCTCAAAGTGTGTATAATTTTCTTGTTTTTACTGGATTAGGGTTATAATTAGCATGAGATATTAAAAAAAGTATATAATGCTTATAACAGTTTAATAAGGTTTATTATATACATTCTACTGCATGATAAATCAGAAGAACACAATTTACCATGCACTTGCCACGTATGTGCTTCAAAAGTAAATTTGTTTTCTTTATTGTTAATTGATAGTTTTTTTTATATGTAATTATTAACAATTGCAACCATTGCAGAGAAAATACATACATGTAAACCACTTACTTGATTTTACCATAGCTTTATGAAACTGTGAGATACAAGTTTCCCCCAAAATTTGTTTTACATTTATTTACGTGTTTTGCACTTAGGATCTGTTACTGATGTTATTGTTTTTCAGAGTTTTGTATTTAATAAATTGTGTTCAATTTCTTTACATGAAATGAGATAAACTTTAATGTATTATATTGTAAATATTTAAAAAATTCACACAAGATATTTACAGTGTACATGACATGTAGTGTTATCAGTATGTAAAATTCCATGTAAAAAATTGCAATTTGTAATATCTTTGCAAACGGAATTAAAAGAAAACAATTGTGTTTGTCCCATAATGTTTGCAAGTAACTATGAATTTCAATTATTGAATTACTCACAGGGACTATTTTTTGGGACCAGAAAATATTCTTCACAGATAAACAGTGAAACATGTAGTTCATAGAGAGAAATATTACCAAGTAAATCAAGGTTGCAAATATCATTTCTATTTCTATGAGGCAAATAAAAGCTGGTTTACAGTATTATACTTTGTATTAATTGTGCTGCTGCCTCTTTTGGAGACTTTACTCTCTCCTATTTCCGTCAAAGAGATTGATTATCTCAAAAGTTTTTACCTTTTTAGTTGATTTAACAGCTGTTTAAAAGCAAAGGTTAAACTTCTCCAACTTTGTGGAGTAACATCATGGGACTTGTCTCTCCTTACCAGAAAATTTGCCAGGACACAATTTACTGTTAATATTTTGTATGTAAGAAGAATAAAAACAATACAAGAAACATTGCATTTCTTGCCTTGTTCACTGTTAATAGTTTTTTTTTTCATAGGTACATGCTTATGTAGAAAACAACACAATAGGAAACATAAGTCCCGATAGTTTTATTCCTCTTTTTGATTAATTTGTGAATGGAATGATACCCAGGAGATATAAATTTCAGAAAATTTTTACTGTAACAATTTTTAAATAAAACATTTTTAAGGCCCATTTCCTTCAAATCCGAGCAGTATCCACCTACGGGATTATCACTAAACAATGACAACAAAACAATGGACTTTTCATCATTTATTTCATTCATACAATGTACAAATCTCAGTCCCTAAGAATGAGGTAATACAAAGGTACATGTACTACAATGGAACACAGGTGGTTCTCGAGTCAGTGAAAGACTAGAGAAATAGAATCTACTCGTCCGGAGCTTGGCACCTCCCTCCTGATTATTACTCTAGGGCCGGTCGTTATATAACAGTGTCTTACATCTGTATAATCTGTATATATCACAATCCATGGTCTTCCATCACAGTCAGCCACGCACTGTGATCTGTTTATCACAATTATGTTGGATTTGGTGAACTTTTTCTAAGAGTTCTAATTTAAATATTTCATTGCATACAATGAAATATTAAAACAATGGAATTTTTGCATGGGCAAAAAGAATAAAACAATTCAAATGGACAAAGCCACTACTAAAACATGAAAGACAATCTAAAACTATAAAACAACATAAAATTTCTGCAATGTCCCTCATTTCATCCCCTATAGCTTGTGTTATTACCAACTGGTCAAACTGTGACAAGTTGTATACAATACCCATATATCAAAAATCTTTTTTTGTATAAATAAGCATTCATACAGCAAAACAATAAAATCACAAATAACAAAATACTGAAAGACCAATACATAAACTATAATCAAGTTACTTCAACAAAATCATCCATAAACTAATTCATCATGGCAAACAAAGCATCTTAAAAATTCTCTGTTCTTATTACTCATAATGATTGTTCTGTTTCATGCTTTCAATTAATCATACAACTTTTTAACATATGTCATTGTATGACTAGCAATGATAATTATTATATATCTACAATTGAACAAAGAATCTTTAAAAAGCATGCTGTATTCCTGCTTAAAGACAACACTGGGAGAAAATGTACAAGCCACAAATATGTACAAAATGTGAAAGCGAATATGCTGTAATATACACAAGAAACATATATACCTGCTGTAACCTACAGAATAAATACCAGTAGGTATATCCAGGCATATCATCTACATAACAAAACAGTTGTACCAGGGTTATCACAACTTTTACAGGTGTTGACAATGAATTATATACAATGCTTCAGACAGCAGGTTAGATATTGCAGTAAGTACATGGGCTCCAACAAAGCTAAAATATTTCACTGACACATGCTGGTGTTCGATGAAATTATTGCTAAATGCTGAGTAAATAAGGCAGTAAGATTTTAACATTTGTAGCACTTAAAGTTAGCAAAGCTTTAAATTTAGCACATTATTGATGATTCTATGGATAAATAAACTACAGATTACTTCATGTTTGAGGCATAATACAGGAAGGGAGAGAAGGAGAGGAAGATGTATAACATGACGACAAAGCTACAAACAAAATAATAGGCTGGCAAGACACTGAACACAAGGGAGACAATTCAATAAATAAAATGTGGAGGGAAAAGGTTTGGCAAATAATAGCAAAATGATGCATCATTTAGATATGCTTACTCCATGTACATTGTCAACAAGTTTCGAAAAAGTTTTACAGCAAAAACAAATGTAAAATGTTTTATATGCTATAACTTGGTGGACCTTGAAAATTAATACCATGCACTTATTTGCTATTTAAGTATAATATGTCCATCTCCAAATACAAGTCACAATTCCAAGTACCATACAAAACATGCTTGTATAAATCTCCACAATGGGTTATCACACCATTAGAGTCAATATTAATACACTTCAGAATGCAGAGGGTATCCTGACATAAATTATCAGTTTACACAGGATGCCATTCTAGGCGGTATATATTACACAGTCCCTTTCCTCTGCAATATTGTCAATAATTGATAATATCATTCCGTTTTCCTTTTGATACGATGCATTCCAACAGCCACGTGTTTCCTTACTCTGATGAGTCTTGGAGTCAAGCTGTCGTCCCTGAGTATCTCTCTTTCTATTCTGTCATATATTTCACTTTTATGTTGATAGGCAGTTGTGGCATTTATTTTTCATTTTTTTATTGTTTATAATTTTTTGTCCCATTTTTGTCTGTTCAAAACTTTATACATAAGCATGAAAACGATTCTGCTTGTTATTTTTTTTTATGATGTCTTCTCTCTTCGATTACACTCCTTTTTTCTGTGTATTTTGTGATATTAGGAGCACCTGCTATCAGCTGACTTCGTACTTTGGGTAGAAGTCTTGCGAGTGTATATGTGAAAGCCTCCTCTCCACTGCTTCTTTGTCTTAAAACACAGAAATGGAAATTTAGAAGTCGAAAATGTATAAAAACTAGAAACCTTAAACTGCCTTAGTATAAACAATTTTTAATGTACATGTATTTCAAAATGCTGACATAAACTATGAAAGGAATTTTTTATGAGAATCAAAGCCATAATTCAAAATTTTTCAATCCAATTCTTTGAAAATTGTTTAACACAAGATCCTTACATTTATTGAGAAGCTGTTTATCATTGGTGTTCCTTGCTTGCTGAGACAAACTGTGAAGGAGGATGTGGGCTGTGTTGTATCGCTTAAAACACTGCAAGAAATTACACAAAACTTTTTAATTCATCATTTTACCCTCTAAATGGTAGGAATTCATACAGTACTTAATAGTTTTATCATCAATCTCAGTTTAAATAACCCATAAACCTTCATAAACAACCTACCTCCTGTGGATTTCCAAACAATTCATCCAAAGCAGCAGTTTGACACTAAAAATAGAAATCATTCGTCTTTATTTTTAAATAAAACAAGACACGTTTCTTTTTAATTTACTATCATTTGCTTCATCAAGTAACCTTTAAAATCTTTTTATTGATGTTTCCATGGATCTAATCTTACCATTTCAATGGCGTAGTTATAGATGAGCTTGTCAGCAGTTGCTATGACAACTTGTGGGGTGAGGGCATTCTGCATTGTGATGCCCAGCCTCTGTTGAATGTGCTTACAGACAGACACACAGCGATGGTAACGCTCATTCATCTGCTTCAACACTACAAAAAAAAAAGATTTATCTCCCCATAGTCCACATATTACAGAAATAGTAACTACGAGTCTAACCTGGATGCATGTTAAATCATTAGATATAATTCAAAATTTCAGTCTGATTTTTTTTTTATAAATAAAATGTTCTCGTAATGTTATCCTTCTAAATCCTGCCAAGTGACTTACAAGTTTTAAGGGCATTAGAGATCTGCAGTCTCTCATCCTTGATTTCCCTCCTGGCTAGTTGTAATGATGAGGATAACAGCTGTAGAGATCTGACATACAGAACCAGCTGTTCTAACAACCTGTCAAACAAAAAACAATCAACAATCAAAAAACACTTCACTTACACTGAAATTAAACTCAGAATGTGTTCACTATATAGAACAAATTTTAAGTGCGACTATCGTGAGGAATATGTACTGAAATACTTTACTCTTCCATGAAATCAAAAATGATGAGTTGTATACATCATTCTTCCTCAACATGCAAACTTAAATACACATGTTGTATAACTACATTTCTGCATGTATACAATACTGTCATTATATTCAGTCAGTACCTTTGAGCTTCAATAAACTTTGGCATTTGTTCTCCCTGTAATGGCCCCTCACCCTGAAATAGGAAACAAATGTGCGTACAACTGAGCATTCCTATTTTACATTATATATCAATAAAGGAATTGATTAAATATGAGAGGTCTTACCTGTTTCCAGTTGACAGACTCTGACAGAGTGTTGAGTGGAGCTCCTTTTGCCATGGCTAGCTCCATCACACAGTCGGCCAGATCATTCACAAAACTCAGTTTGGCCATTATTTCATTGTGGTTATCCTGCAAAAACAATCATTAGACATTAGTTCATGTGGTCCTATCACATTATTATATTTAACACTGAATATAGCACTATATTTGCTGTTGTGTCAAATTCCCACTATTTTTATTTAACTACAAGTATTTCAGTATAATGCAGACTTTTGAGACAATAAATCATGACTTACTCCCATTAGAGTTTCCTCTGCCAGTCCTGGGGCCACAAAGGCTACAGGTCCCTCCATGTTGGGGGGTGACTTGGCAAACACCATGTTGCTGGGTGATGTGGCACTCACTGTTCTCCTTAGATACGACCCTGACCTCTGGGTCTCCATCTGGATGGTGTTATCATTGGGAGACACCAGTTGCTCATTGCTTGTGTACCTCATCACTTGTCCTTCCAACTGATTCAGTCCTGAAATTACACCCCATCATATTTTACTTTTTGAAAAATAAGAAGACCCAAAATGAAGTTTTTGTGCTCCTTTAATCCATCTACAAAGTTTACATTCAATACTACAGAAATAGATTATGACGATTGTCTTAGGTTGAAACTGGTATAAAGTACATCTACTGCATTCTGACAAAGTGGTGGTGATCTTTCTATGTCTATAAGTTTATTACAGTGAGAGTTACCTTGCTGGTTTAAATAATTGACTTTCATTTGCTGTGATAACATACTGCTGCCCCCTGAGGCCCCTGGGTCAGTATTGCATCGTTCCATTAAGTTTCTCTTTACTCTATCCACTGCAATAAATAATGGACAGTTATCACTCACTATATGTCAAATGTGCTATATTCATTCTATTGAATTTGTAACCAATTCATTCAACCTCTCATAAATAGAAGAATACAATGAATTAATCATTAAGTAAATGTGTAAATCACTCTTGCATGTTTTAGTGCAAACAAAATAAATGCAATCTTTCAAACATCCATTATACAGCTTTGTATGAAGTAACATTGGAAAACACCAAACACTAAATCTACTAGCAGAATAGAAGAAGATGACAGATGAGCGAGTGAAGACTTACCCTCCCCAGGGTTGTACCTCTTCGTACCCTTACTCTCAGGAATGGCCTTGGGTCGACTCTGTCCAAACGGTGCCCTGACGGGGTCAGAGGGCATGTTGTCAATGACCTGAGGCTCATGGTGAAACTCAAAATGAGGGGAATCCAAGATGGTGGGCAAGGACCCAGGGCTTGAAAAGTTCTGTGTCAAACCCTTGGGAGAACTACCCATACCTAGGTGAATGAGATTGTTACGTGCTCATGACTGATGAATGTTGTGCACACATTAACTTGAAACAACAGGGAAACCACACAATTTGTTAAAAGCAGACTAGCATGATATGCATTACAATGCGGGTCTTACTTGCTCTACGATTGGGGGAGTTTGAGACATTGCTGGGGTGGTACTGGGCCAATCCCTGAGAGCTGCCTACACTGCCCCTCCTCCAGGGCTGGGAGATGCTTGGGGGTGTGCCAACACAGAATTTCACTACAACAAACACAAGTTTTACATTTTTTATAACTATCATAATACAAGGAAATGAATTCAATTAACAACATTTATCTCTTCCTTAGCTTTTTTCTTCACAATGTTGAATTTCTTTTTTCAATTTTTTTTTTTCAATTACCTGTTGGAGGTGAAAAAGAACCAATGTCAGGGGCAGTAAATGGTTTTCTTTCTGACTGTGGTGACATCTTGATGTTCTGACTAGACAACTACAAAATTAAACAAAGAATGAGAAAAACGTACAGATATCAGTGCACAGTTTAATGTGATTTATGAAAATTTACAAAAAAAAAGTCATCAATGTACCGTAAATCTGGAAATTTTTGCTGTAGATAATTTTTTAGCAAATTTTCGAGTTCATCGCATTCGCAAAAATATTTTTCTTAAAAATAATTCAACAATAAGAAAATGTAAACAAAGTAGTGGTCTTTTGCAAAATTTTGAAAAGTAAAAATTTATCAACATCATTCTGACCCAGATTCGCAAAATAAAATCGATGTAAAAATTTCCAGATTTACGGTATGTCAAACATAAAAGTGGATCTCTAATATATCAAACTTACTCTTGCTGAGTCTATGGGGGAGATTTCCATTCCAGACTTGCGAGGACTGGAGAGTGGAGAGTTACTAGATCTGATTCTCTCGAAGGCTTTGACCTGTGTGGGTACTGGGATGGGCTCTGACTGGTTCTGGGCCTGCATGGGCAGTGTTGACGGTCGACTGGGACTAGACATACCAGATGAGTCCTTCCGGAACCCTACAGACCCTGTCTGGGGCTCGACCTTCACAACCTGAGGCTGAGCGCGCTCACTAGAAAAAACAAAAACTACTCTGAAGTTCATAAACTTAGAGAGTTAACTTGGGACAGAGTCTAAAGGTTTAAATTCATTTTTGCTGTATGATAGGACTAATGCAGCTTATTTGAACAATTACCAAGGTCTCTGTAAATCCCCTGTAGAGGGAATTCCCCCTTTATCACTGCCATCTGAGTGATCACTCATTCCATCGGGCACAAGCACAAAGTCATGCTAAATAAAATTTTAAAAAATTGAAACTAACATGAGCTAATAATGCTTTGCTTGCTTAATTAATGATTATTACAAAAGTAACAAAATAAGAGATCACAAACTCATCAAAGACCAAAGAGCCACTAACCTCTGTGGGACTGTTACTGCGTGGTGTTGGTCCCTTGTCAACTTTGAGGAATTCTCCTTCATTTGATGACATGGCTTCTGCTACCTCCTGCTGTTTAATCATTTGTACAACCTAAAAAATGAGGAAAACATACACATAATTTATTTGAAAATATGAAGAGTAATTACATAAGTACTCATATATCTTTAACATTTTTGTTAGGTGGGCAAATGCAACTTCAATAGTTCTTTTTATTCATTTTTAGTAAGATGGCTACACAGTTTCTGTACAGGTTAACACATAAATCCTGACAAACACATCCTCATCTGAAAAGCAAGCACCTGTAGGATACAAACAAATCACAAACGGCACAAAACAGGAAGTTTACCTTGGAAGGAGGGGTGGAGTAGTCGGCTTTCCCTGATAAGGGGGACGCAGACACACATCTGGGAGGGGTGGGGCTCTCTGATGAGCATCCCTGGGAGGCTCTACCGGGGACCGGTACAGGTGAGGCTAGAATACAAGGTATCAGTCAATACCCCACACCCACTACCTGATCTCACAGATGTGAATTATACACTTATTACAATCACTAGGACAGGGTTCAGATACTTACAAGAGGCGGCCGCTGACTGTCCCGGGGGCTTAAGGAAAGGGTGGCTGAAGAACTCCTCTGGAAATGGAAGATATATATGTTCAACAACTGATTAAGATGAAACAGTGGAGCATTAAATTTATGAAGAATTTATGAAACAGTGGAGCATTAAATTTATGAAGAATTTATGAAACAGTGGAGCATTAAATTTGTGAAGAATTTAAGTGAAGAAAGCTACTATAAAGAATATTTTATCTTACCAAACTCTATCCTATCCTTTGCATTTCTTTTTAACATTTTCATCAACAAATCTCTGAGTTCTGATGAAGTGTCTTTGGGAATACTGAAAACAGACAGGTAACATTATAAAGTAAATCTTGGCTGAAGAGTTGTAAAATGATTGATTGGAATGTTAGCTTCTCTGTATCATTAGGTATTAAAATTTTGTTTGTCTAATATGATTATTAATTTTTTTAAAGTGACGAATATTGAAGTTCAATTTAAGTACTTTTTTCCTAAAATAAATTTCTGTGAGAAAGGGATGCGTATTGTACATCACAATGGGATTTTGATAAGTTTTTCTTTCAGGTAAAACACGGCTATCATATGTACATACCGTAGTATTACATATGTACATACCGTAGTATTACCTAAAGACATATGCAATTTCTTTTGTTTATCGCCATATTTTAAACTTCGGAAAGTTATTGTTGGAAGGTATGCTTGTTAAAAATGTAACTTTCATAATCTTTTGTAAAATAATACTAAAATAACTAAAATTGAACAAAGCAAGTTAAAAGTAATTTGAGAAACGTGCAAACCCAAAGTCAGCTGACGATGAAAAAAAATCATACCAATATTAGGCAGAGAATAAGGCCGCCATTACCGATGTTAGCTTTTTAGATGTTAAACCATGCCTATGTCACGTAAAAAATTTATCAAAATAATGATATAGTGCACATTTGCACCTTAGTTGTTTTTCTAGTTTGTGCATGTTTTGTCATAAAATAGTAATAAGTCATTTTTAATGAAATACAATAAAACAAAAATTTATTTTAGGGTGTGTCTTAAATAACTCAATGAAAATCTGCTGCAACATAAACACACCTTCATCGCAGCAGCTGTAATACAACCATGTATTAAAAATTATTCTAAGCCAATGTTGTTAAAATTGCGCTGTTCAAATGATAATTACCTATCAAACCCATTCTGTATGGCAATTAATGGTATCTTACCGACTCTGAGGAAAGCAATGTTCTTTACAGTTAGAAAAATGTTAAATTAAATTCCTGTTAATTGCTCTTGATCATTTTCTTTGTTAAAAATTGGGGGTGGGTTTATGCACCTTTAACATGTGTGAGCATGTGTTATACGACACATATATACAATTAAACACTTGTTAAATGTAATTTTACCTAAAATCTTATACTAAATGGCCTTGTACTTATATCAAATAATTAGACTATCACAAATTTTATATGTCAAAATTATGTAAAACTTAAGTGTTATCATTGTATAATGAAATGCTCTTTAGAATCCAAATATTTGAAAACAGGCTTTAAGAAATTGCAATGTTCTTGAAATTTGCAGAAAATATGCGTATTTGACTACCTTCAGCATAGAATTTAAATATACTTTGATGATCCAAAAAATAACACATGTTTTTTGATCTTAAAAAAGCTTTCATAAGTATTTGCATATTTTGGATCAGATTGCTCTATATGAAAATTGAAAAAATGCCTCAATTTTAGGCCATTTTCAAAGGAATTTACACATATGAGGAAAATGACGCATTTGATGACGTCATAATCAATTGAAATGAAAAATTACGTCACAATTAATAGACACATGGTCACCAACACTCCAAGTAATAAATACTACACTTGCAAAAAAATTCTGTTAATACTTTTAGGGCCAAAAAAGGCCCAACATGGCTCTTGCTCTTTTGACCTACCCTGTAAGTAGTCAGCCAAATCTCCTCCATTACAGTACTGAAAGGGAAAATCAATGTGTTATGAGGAGAAAGTTATCATACAGTGACTACTTACTTGGTAGACATTCATGTGTAAAATTAACCAATTTTCTCTCATAGGCACAGAGATATTGATTGTTCTATTGTAGTGCCATTTTCATGTATTAAATAAACTAGGACTTGCACTAATGATTTTAAAACACTTGGGCAAAATCAGTCATGCAAATATTAAATAATAAATATGACACACGATTGATCACTTATTCAAACAAAGAATTATGTTACTTCAAATAGGGAGGTTGTTTAGATGTTCATGTGTTGTAAAGTAAATGTCAGTGCCCTTATTATACTGTAATAATAACAAATATTTACCTCCATCACTAAGTAAACATGGTTGGTTGTTTCCTGCAAGTAATGAAAAAAAATTTAATAAATACACCAGTAAAATCAACAGAATTACTTTATATTTACCAACATCAATGAGAAAAATTAAGAGATCATAAAAACAACCAGAAGTCTCTGTCGAGACTGTAGCTCTACTGGTTTGTACTTATAACAAAGGATAAGAAAAGAAGCCATTGCAATCAGACCAAAACTGTAGAAGGAGTGATGTTTTAAAGGAATTTCAAGGACATTTCTATTTTTAGTACTAATGGCGACATCATTCATCAAAATCAAAAACCGATGCACTATTTAATGTATCTTAGTGTAGTCTACTTGTGTGCCAAGTTAAATTGAAATCAGACCAAAACTGTAGAAGGAGTAGTGTTTTAAAGGAATTTCACAGAAAATTCTATTTTTAGTAACCACGGCAACACCATTCATCGAAATCAAAAACTGATGCACAGAATTATGTGTCTTAGTGTTCTACTTGTGTGCCAAGTTACATTGAAATCTACCAAAATAAGAGTAGCATTTTGAAAAATTGTTTACACACCATGTACACGGGACAGACACCATACTATTGCATAAGCTCTTCTGGCAGCCATCACTAAAAACCGATGCACAGAATTATGTATCTTAGTATAGTCTACTTGTGTGCCAAATTATATTGTAATCGGACCAAAACTGTAGCTGAGGAGTAGCATTTTAAAAGAACAGAAATTTTATTTTTAGTAACCATGGCAACACCGTTCATCGAAAGCGAAAACCAATGCACAGAATTACGTTCTTAGTGTAGTCTACTTGTGTGCCAAGTCATATTGAAATTAGACCAAAACTGTAGGAGGAGTAGCATTTAAAAGAAAACAGAAATTTCTATTTTTATAACAACGGCAACACCGTTAATCGAAATCAAAAACTCATGCACAGAATTATGTATCTTAGTGTAGTCTACTTGTGTGCCAAGTAATATTGAAATTGGACCAAAACTGTGGGATATAACAGTCGAAAGAATTTCACAGAAATTTCTATTTTTAGTAACCACGGCAACACTGTTTACCGAAATCAAAAACTGATGCACAGAATTATGTATCTTAGTGTAGTCTACTTGTGTGCCAAGTTATACTGAAACAAAACTGTAGGAGGAGTAGCATTTGAAAGAATTTCACAGAAATTTCTATTTTTAGTAACCACGGCAACACCATTCTTCGAAATCATAAACCGATGCACAAAATTATGTATCTTGGTGTAGTCTACTTGTGTGCCAGGTTATATTGAAACCAAAATTAGCATTTTGAAAAATTGTTTAACAGACAACAATAAATCAGTTATTACGAAAAATTCTATCGCATAAGCTGTTTGTCTCTGACCAGTAGAGCTAAAAACCAATGCACAGAATTATGTATCTTAGTATAGTCTACTTGTGTGTCAAGTTATACTTAAATTAGACCAAAACTGCAGGAGGAGTAGCATTTTGAAAGAATTTCACAGAAATTTCTATTTTTAGTAACCATGGCAACATTGTTCATTGAAATCAAAAACTGATGCACAGAATTATGTATCTTAGTGTAGTCTACTTGTATGCCAAGTTATATCAAAATCAGACCAAAACTGTAGGAGGAGTAGCATTTTGAAAGAATTTCACAGAAATTTCTATTTTTAGTAACCACGGCAACAATGTTAAATCGAAATCAAAAACCGATGCACAGAATTATGTATCTTAGTGTAGTTTTACTTGTGTGCCAAGTTATACTGAAATGGACCAAATCTGTAGGAGGAGTAGCATTTTGAAAAAATTTCAAAGAAATTTCTATTTTTAGTAACCAAGGCAACACCGTTCATCGAAATCAAAAACCGATGCATAGAATTATGTATCTTAGTGTAGTCTACTTGTGTGCCAAGTTATAATGAAATTGGACCAAAACTGTAGGAGGAGTAGCATTTTGAAAGAATTTCAAAGAAATTTCTATTTTTAGTAACCAAGGCAACACCGGGAAAATCAAAAATGTGCATAGAATTATGTATCTTAGTGTAGTCTACTTGTGTGCCAAGTTAAAATGAAATTGGACCAAAACTGTAGGAGGAGTAGCATTTTGAAAGAATTTCACAGAAATTTCTATTTTTAGTAACCACGGCAACACCGTTTATCGAAATCAAAAACCGATGCACAGAATTATGTATCTTAGTGTAGTCTACTTGTGTGCTAAGTTATTGAATAAACTAGGAGGAGTAGCATTTTGAAAGAATTTCAAAGAAATTTCTATTTTTAGTAACCACGGCAACACCGTTCATTGAAATCAAAAACCGATGCACAGAATTATGTATTTTAGTGTAGTCTACTTGTGTGCCAAGTAATATTGAAATTGGACCAAAATTGTAGGAGGAGTAGCATTTTGAAAGAATTTCAAAGAAATTTCTATTTTTAGTAACCACGGCAACACCGTTCATCGAAATCAAAAACCGATGCACAGAATTATGTATCTTAGTGTAGTCTACTTTCGTGCCAAGTTATATTGAAATCAGACCAAAACTGGAGGAGGAGTAGCATTTTGAAAGAATTTCACAGAAATTTCTATTTTTAGTAACCACAGCAACACCGTTCATCGAAATCAAAAACCGATGCATAAAATTATGCATCTTAGTGTAGTCTACTTGTGTGCCAAGTTATATTGAAATCGGATCAAAACTGTAGGAGGAGTAGCATTTTTGAAAAATTGTTTACAGACAGTAAAACGGACAGAATTACTTTATACGGACGGACAACATCAATAGAAAAATTAAGGTCTCTGACCAGTAGAGCTAAAAACCTGTGTTTCAATTTCCTAAGGGAAATGACTCTTGAGTTTGACCTTCACCTATCACCTTGACCTATCATAAAGCCCCCCTAACTTGTCCATCACTTTGTCAAAATATATCGCCTATAAATATCCTACATGATTTATCAAAATATGACTATGAAAGGTTTAAGTTGTTGACAGACAAAACTTGAAAAGAAATAAATCTTGATATTGTACTTCACTAGTATTTAATAACAAATTACTTCAGTATAATTATGAAATATTTTATTTGCTCCTCACATAATTTGTTTTCTGCGAGGAAACAACTCTTGAGATTAAAGTATTATTTTGACTGAATATAGAACATCTGTATTATTATATTGTATAATAACTGTAATATTGTTAGGTTATGATGTATGTCTGTGCATTTAACATTTCAATGAATAAACACTACTCCACCATTTTCCACATATACAAGCTGTTAAATCAGCAAATAATTGATTAATTGTATGAACATTGTGTCCTTCAACCTTGTTTAGAGAAAAAGGAAAAACAGAAACAAAGGATGTTGTGTAACATTACATCCTTAACATTACAGACTGTGATCAGAACTAAAAGTGTCAGGACAATCAGCTGATAGGAACACAATCAGCTGACAGCCTGCAGATAAGATCTACCTGACCAACAGTTTACTTAACAACAAACACAAAGACTCCCTGGACTGTAAACAACAGGTGAATTCAAAGTAAATAACCTCATAAAATACAACTTAGAAGTTTGATCCAGTGCCATGTTAACTTTGCCTTGTGGCTAAAAACAGATGTTTAACCTTAAACAGTCTTTAATGGAAAATTTCAAGGAAATTAACCCAGCCTTTATCATCTATGAAGTTTTTTTTAACAGTTTCTCAATTGCACGTATATGCATTTTTGGACAACATATTACAGATCGAGTGGCAAAAAGCCTGATATTGGAATAAATAAACAACTTACTATAATGTTAAGATATATAACTTAAACTACAATAGCCCCCCCCCCCCCCACCCCCCAAAAAAAGTATATGGATATTTAGGTGCATGCACTCTTCATATTTAAGTAGGGCTTTATCTGGACATGCCAAATATATTATAAACAAGATTCTGAATAATACCTTGTACTGATCCTGTTGTTTATAAACACCAATATGTACTCTGTAACTGTCTAAAGTTTCCTTTCTGACATAAACTGTTGTATGTATGAACAAGTGTGCAGTAAACCAACACTCTATATCCACAAAACAAAAAAAGTTGGCAGAAACAATTGGAAGAAAAGAAAACAGCCTATTTTTTTCTTTACACAAATGTGTGCACAAAATCCATTTTGTGGGGCAATTGCACACACTGTGCCAAATGTGTATACGTATGTTATTTGTATGATTAAAATTCATATTTTTTGAAACTCATAAATACAAAAATATATTTTGTGGCAAGAGGATTTCTAAACTAAAGGTTGAAATGTTAACTTTTTCCTACAAAATACAAGTTGATTCTATCTGAAAAAAATTCAAAATACATATATAGATTAAATGCTTTAAATTCCTAATAATTACATGACTGTGTGATTAAGATATTTTCCTAAGCATTTGTTTTTGCGTGGATTTTATCTTTAAAATACCTATTAACTATATGTAATATTTGCACAGTGCCTAAACAGAAGTTTTACTGTAGGAATCCAGCGAACGTAGCCCTTGTGCATGTGGGGTTCTGTTTGAGTTATTTGACCTTCAAGGTCAGGAAAGGTAGGGTATTGACTGAACTAACATGCACCTGGCTTTCACCTTATGCAATTTGTTTAGACAAGTTAAGTTAGAAACGTATCATGTACCATAAATCACACCGTACACCGCAAGCATTCGGTTGGAATTAAATAGGTTTGAAAATAAAGTATAAAGGTGTTAATGATCACAAACACATCTTAGACTATTATTACAAGGAAACCAGTAAACCCTCTGCATTTGATTGTCACTGCTTACTTGCAGTATTACTGGTTATCTGAACTGTCTAGAACCCACACATATTTATTTATTATTGCACCACGGCCTGCCAGTGACCATTCAGCCCCACTGCCTGTCATTACTCAGGTGTTATATATAAACCTCCACTGACCCAGAGCCTTTTTATGTGACCTGATTACATATTTAGACATTTTGTCATGCCTTTAGCATGCAGGCTATATATGGGGCTGAGTAATTGTTGCATGTTTTGAAGACTAAAACATAAATATTGACATTGTTCAGCCTGGTTATAAGGCGTCGCTGAGTAAATGTTATCTAGGAGTTGCATAAGGGTGGTGCAACCCACTAAAGATACATAGGTACATAACTATCGATTACAATTAAACAAATAAAAATACTATGTCTTTTTATATATACTGAAAACTTTTAATTAACTTATTGTTATGCATTCACGTACATTATGCTTTTCAGTTGTACTGTTTATACGGTATAAAACAAATTAAATGTTTTTATATGTATTGTAACCATGAATGCATTCTTTTTTCAGGCATGAATGCTTCTTAACAAAGGAAATCATTAAAGGCCCACTGAGAGATCAGCTGTTGATCACATGACCAACATCATTATGTCAAACAGTTAGAATTGATTTATCACACAGACACCACTGTCAATCTCTTAATAAACATCTGCTATAACCTAAATGTATTCTGTACATCCATCAGAAAAATGCTTATTATTATAAAGTTGATAGAAAAAATCAAATGAATTTTACATATATAGCATCATTCAGGTGATAATATGATGTTATAAATTTAATGTTAACTAGAAAACTGACCAGTCAGCAAGGGCCCCGCAATGGGGTAGAATTAATAGGTCGCAGCTTACGGAATGATTAAAAAATGTACGAAGCAACTGTATTCTTAAAATTTCAAGATAATTCTTGAATATTCAAAAACCTGAAAATAATATCCTTGTATTTACATTAGACAGTAAAGAACAATTTAACATTGAATGTATATTTAAACAATTATGAGGCTTGTGTTATATAAAATGCCAGCCTTCAATGAATGCAGATATCATGAAGGCTTGACCTTAACTTCAAACAAACAACAGTTGCAGACAAAGGTTTTCATTAATCTAAGACAGATAAAGAAAAGCCTACTACTTTCCTGCAGCAGGCTAGATAATTAATCCCAAGGGAGTAATTGACTACCTCTCTCATCATTTTCTTCTAAAGTTAAAATAAGAACTTTTTCAGTGTTAATGATAGAATGGGTTTTTCATACAATTATCCTAAAAATTAATAATATTCTTAAATTAACATAAAGTGAAAAAAGCAAATTAAAAAAATCTTCTTTAATCTATTTTTTGTTATTAGAATTCAATGAAATCATAACTATTAAACAAAAATAAATTATAAAAATTTGAATCCACATTTCAGAGTGTTCATAGCATTCCAAATTGACTTAACTTCAAAACAAACTTATTTGTAGACAGAGGTGGTAATTCATCTCAATTTGACAGATAAAGATAATGCTCTGCATTTTCTTCAGGAGGAAAGCTAATTAATCCCAAGGGACTCATAGAAACATTCAATTTACAATGGGAACATCTTCAGCAGTTATCTCTCTTTGCCAATGCTTTGGTATAAAGAGTTAAAGAATCTACCCCACCACCCAAGCTCCAAACCAGGGGACATAGAGAACAAAACTTAGCATCAAAATATGTATTTCTGCCTACTGAACTACCATACCAAATTTGAACATGATTGGGCAACCATAAAAAAAGTTGTCCATTCATTCATATATACCCCACCACCCCAGCTCCAAACCAGAAGACATAGAGAACCAAACTTAGCATCAAAATATGTATTTCTGCCTACTGAACTACCATACCAAATTTGAAGATGATTGGGCAACCATAAAAAAAGTTATTGGTAAAAAACAGAAAATTTGTTGACAGACGGACAGACAGACGGACGGACGGACGGACAGACAGAGTGATTACTATAGGGCACCCGCAAATTCTTGCGGGGCCCTAATTAATGGAAGGTGTATATTAAATAGAAAAGCCACTACTATTATTGCCTACAAAAATATCTGACATGTACAGAATTTTGCACAGTAATGGCTAGCCATTATGACTAAATTTAGCACATTTCCTTCAGACAATCTAATTAAAATTGGATGTTCTGGTTCTGCTTGAGGTTTCAGAACATCTAGTTTTAATGAGATTGTTCCTTAAGATTTTTTTTTTCATTTTTGCTCATTCATCAATTTATATTTTAGTTTGTATTATTAACACATAATGTGCCAAACAAATAATACCTTATCCCACGTTATCTGATAATCAGCGTATTATTTAAGAAGAGATAAAGATTACGATATCTGTGTGACAATAAGGGACTGAGGAGGACTTCACAACCTTAGAGTCACCCCAACACAGTGACCCAGACGACAGAGGATTTAAAACCCAACAATGAGGGCCCATTAGCTTTGTCCTTTATGGACTAAAATGCCTGATTAATAATATAATCAGAGAAAAACATGCCTGTGCGAGGGAAAATGTGTTCTGTATGAACTCTGGTAGCTTACTAACATAATCTTACATCACTGTTGTTACATGAACTTAGAGTGTGACATGCTTATATAATCCATTTTTACAATATCATATCTTTCACTAGGTCACAAATTCCTGTATGAAATCTTGATGTAAATGTTTCATTATTAAATATGACAAACTTCAACTAATGATGATTAAGTTAAAATCCAATCAAATGATGCAATAATGAATCATGCACTCAACTGACATAGTCAGGCAGTGAGAATATTTTAAAATTTAAAATAATGGTCAGTATAAATCCTGCCCCTTAATTCATATCATAGAGGTTAAATTTTTTCCTTTTTAATTACTACGAACTATAACTGTATTTTTACATGCCCAATAAATTGATCAACGACTCCTTTATTTGCTGAGAAAGATGTTATTTCAGACAAATGATTGTTGAGTATATTGATTTCTTACGTCCTCTAACTGGGCATTGGACGTCACAGGAAATATCATACCCTAAAGTCATATACAAGCTTAAAGTGATGCAATGATCTTAAGATTTTATTTCTAATCAATTTGTATCTACATTGTTGCTCAAGCATAAAATTTAACAATAAATGCAGGCGGGGGTTCCCTTTATAGATTTTCATTTTCTTATTACTGAGGACAAGAATCAAACTTCCTCAATTTACTGTTTCATAACTTCTACCAAGACTTAATTACATGTCAGTGACTTCAATTTATTAGCAAAGGAACCTGTTTGTTTCTTCCTGTGAAAAATGTTTACATTGTGAGTAATGTTTAAAAAACACTTCTCAAAATCTCAGGGCTTTCTGCTTGAGGAAGGGGGGGAGGGGGGATCTTCCTGCATTAGAGCAGTGATGATGTATTTCACCCTTACCTTACAGTCCAGAAGAGCAACCACATTCTCATGGTGAAGATCTGATAGCTCCTACAACACACACATAACAGACTACATAATCAGATTCTTTTCATAATTATAAAAGAAAACTTCATCTCATGACATATTAATTTGGAATATATATATTTTTGATGTCAATGATATTGATTTTATATCCAACCAATATCAAAATATGAATATCAGAGTATCAGACTGTGTGTTTTATCTTTAATTAAGTTCGCTTGCTTATGAAACTGTTACAGATATTATTTACTGATGGAAAAAAAATCAGTTATCTATAAATCTCAAGTGGAACCCCAGGAAACAAGAACATGTATAACAGCTGTAAAGATCATTACTTTCATTTTAAATTAAATGTATACACTGTTTAGCAGTGGTGCTGTTATGACATACACAATCAAAGAGAGTAAACATGATTACACTTTTAATACCTTTAAAATCTTGATTTCCTTGCTCAACAAATTTTGAGACTTGGCCAAGTTCTTCTTGGTGATACTTTTAATGGCCACTACATGATTTGGTCTCTGAAATAATTTTAGATAGAAAGTTACTTGAAATTGTCATGAATCACAGCTAGAATTCATAGTAATTTGTGAACTTTAATAGAATATTTTAATACAAGTATCATGGCATAATTTTGATGTAAATAATTGTACAAAATAGCCATGTCAGATGGTAATTCTTCCTTGCAAAATTTACAATATACTTTTAAAAATTGGGGTACCAGAAGTTTATAAAAACTGAAGCTTCATGATTTGCAAAATTGCTGTTTTACTAAAAGATATAATGAAAACAGAGAACTGAAAATGAAATCATAGATTTAAACATAACAGGATAACAAACCTTAAAATTTCTGCATGCAATAAGTTCATTTAAACATAAACCACATGTATGGAGTTTTTTAAGTAAAGTGTAAATATAAGTAAACTTCAATAAATACATAATGTATAATACTGTAAAGAAGTGCAAGAGAATAACAGCATCAAAACTTGAAGGAATTCTTGGAAAATTTTCTTTTCAAATACTTGAAGCAAATAGGGTAAACACTGGTTTTCTATCAAAGACAGTGATTAAACAACATAGGTTGTTAAAAGATATATATATTCTATAAATATCTTCCAATGTTTACAAGTAAAGTAGGTCACTAGTTCATGACGCAGAGGAATGGAACACCTTACTTCGTGTTTACAAACAAATCACATTTCAACATTTATTGTTATTGAACATCCCATAGAAATTATTACTTATTTTAGTGATTTCATATTATAAATAATTTATAACTAAAAATGTATATTAACATGCTCAGTGACAAAAGCATTATGTACAAATATGTACACAATAGCATAGCTATAGATCACAAAATTAGACAAAGAAAACCAGTAAGTGTGAAATATTTCAAATAAAAGGACCAAATTGCCAAGGGTTTCTCCAAGGAAACTGAAAATATACATGAAAATTCACTTTTAATAATTAATAAAAATATAAATTTTCAAAATGATAACATGTTCAAAAATATCTTTGTAAACACAAAGGAATAACACTACAATGTCTACACCATATGTTGAAAAGGATTGATTCTGCTTGTTTTGTTGACCTAATAAAAGTAGGCCCATCTTGTCTTTTAACCAGTCATAACACTGTAAAGTTGTTTTTATCAATGTGAAAAGCAAATTGCATTTCCAAGAGGCTTTTTCACCCTTGGTGCCAGAAGATATTATATATACCACCATGATGGGTTATCTAAATCAAGTAGGATCTCCAACAAAAATGAAAAAGTAACTGTAAAAACTACAGAGAAAAAATGAAAGGGTCATATGTCTTTTAATAACTGTTAATACAGTTAGATCTATCATTTTCAGTTAATATATGGCATCCAAGAGCTTGATTTTATACAAATACCTTTCTATGTCTTCCTTTGAAGACAACCGCAAAAGCCCCATGGCCTATCAGATCCTTTTTGCTATACTCATATTCTCCAACAACTTCCATTTTGTTGTTATATCAATTCTGTATTTCTCACTGAAGATGAAGTTGCTCCTTTTGGAAGCTGGTCAGGAGCCATTTTGATGGTCCTAATTCCTCGAATTTGAACTCATATCTTCATCGATTTTCTCACATATGATCATTAAAAATAATTATTCAGTCAACATTTTTCATCGATCTTGCATCATTCTGATTCTTTTCTTTGGCGTTTAAATTTAGAACTCGTCTCTAAGCTAGTTTCTTGACAGGTCATTTGGAACAACACCTGATTATGTTTTGGTTTTGACCTCTTCACTTGATAAGATGGCGCACTACCTACTAATTAACATAAATAATCCCGTATGATAATGGGATATTGATTTTCTCATTAGCTACAATGATTCGGAAACATGTTAAAATATGAATTGAATATTAGAATGAAATTATTTTCTGACAGAATAATATCCCTATTCCAAAGTAAACATGCAATTTAAAAAAGATGTGAAATCTTTGTTGTTGTCCTGGGCGAAGTGATATTTAACAAGTGCCCTAGAAAGTAGTCCCTTGTTCTCGAGTCTCGCGAGAACCTAAGAAGTGATGTTGTAATGGAGGAAACACGTGTGGTGCAACTTCGAAATAATTTATTGCGCATCTTGAAGGTGTCACATAATTGCAAAGATTGAGTTTACCAGAGAGACACTATCATCAATTTCTGAAGGTATTAAATGGTAAATATTTCTTTTGGAAGAGTGGGTGCTGTTTTATAAAGAGCTATTGTAACCGACCTTGGCCAATGAAAACCAAAACAAACTCAAGAAAGTCGATGGCGACCTAGATAGTTAACATTAGGTGCGCCATATGACAGCGTTTTGCAAAGAGTATTGTTGAAAATAAAGTATCAATTTACTGATATCATATTTATTGACATGAATTGTACCATCTTTTCCATATGTTTATTTCCACTGTTCAAAGATTTTTTGAAAGTCATGGCAAAGGCAAGAGTTATGGCCCATTAACTAGGATTCATTTTGTCAATGTTTCTTGTAGACTCAACTGATCAGTTTTAAATGGGTTGAGCAGAAATGAACAGATATATAAATCTGCCTTTCCATTTATGATGACTTTTGAGTGCCATCAGAACCACAGGAGCAAGCCGCACAGGGTTTACTCCCGGCTTGCAAAATATTTTTCTTTAAACAATTCGTATACAAAATACTTTTTAAAAACTTCAGGGAGGATGCCATTTTGGACCCCTCCTTGCTTCGACCTCAGTTTACATTATTTTCCAGCATTTTACTGCCTAACTGCCTCAGATCTTTCAAGTTATGATTCTCCTCTGACAGAATGTGTGAATTATCTCCCCTTGAAGTATGTACAATACACATTTTAACTAATAATAATCAAAATGCATTCTCTAGGAAGGTTGTTGAGGATAAAAAGCCAAAATAAGCATGGTGTTTGAATGTTTAAAAATCCAGAATCTTTATAGCTGTTCACATTAACTTTTCACAATTAGAAATTATTAAAAAGCCATAGTCCAGGGATTTTTTAGAGGGCTGTATTCATCACGATCAGAACAATGAAAATGTTCAAATTCAGTAGTGTATATATCAGGAACGGCATTAACAGATTTACTGAATGTTAAATACATTTACATCAATAATACCTTGCAAATGATCCAAATTTCACTATTTTTTCCAAAATTGAAAGGCTCAGGCGATTGAATTTTATACATTAACTCATTAAGGACATATGACTAATGCAATGTACCTTACCTACGGATAATTTTTAAGATATTCTGTATTTCATTGAAATTACTAAACAGGTATCCTTGATGCTTTGCTTACTTAAACTTGTTTTAGAAGAAGTGTACAACAGCATAAATAGACATTAAAAATTTAGCACACGATTCCTTTAAGTATTGGATTTCTCAAACCCCAGGGAAAGGGCAATTTAGTTCAAACTATGTAGTGTATGTCCTTAAATTCATCCTGTTTTAGCTGTAAAGAATATATCAAGACATGCCTGAACAGTAGGAAGAGGATAGTATTACTGTGCATTTTATTCCAAGATCAAAGCTGGTTGTTTTCATGTAAACATGTAGTACCAAAAAAGATCATGGTCCAGGAGTTTTCTTACTCATGACAGAGTTGTAAGAGACCTACAGATTTTGAGTCTGCTTCTCAAAGGCAGAGATCAAAAGGTTGAGATATTTCATTAAGATCTTCTGTTGTTGAAATCTTGATTTTCATATGATAATCACATTTATTTCCCTTTGTCAAAGGAAGAAAGATGTGGTCCAAAGGTTTGAAACTCTAATTTTCAAAATGTTGAGATTTACATTTGAGATGTACATTATCATTGTACATGTAGCTTCTTTGCAGAATGTTTATGTACATGGTCTAGTATTCATATGATATACAGGAGCTACATCAGTACATGTATTGTTTTTCTTTGCAGATACAGAGTGTTAAGGATTAAGGATGCCTAACTTCAGAGGAATACTCACATTTGCCCTGCCTGCTGTAACAGTTGTGTTTGGCTTCATTTGGTTTTTTGGTCGGAAAAAGACTCCTAAACCGAAACTCTTACCTAAAGAGGACAGCCAGTCTGAATCAACAGGAAAAAGTTCTGTTCCTTCATCAAATGTAACAGATCTGTCACAAAAATCAAAGGAAAAAGAGAGCATCAACAGCTGTGTACCTGATGAAAAAAGCAGAGAAAAAAGGGGAGAGTTTGAGGAGAAAGAAGATCAGAGAAATGGTGTTATGGCCTCACCTGTGGGGAGTAGGAAAAGGAAGGCCCACCAGATCACCAGGACGGACGACACCGAGGTGTCAGACGGGGCCGACTCGGTGGAGGAGGAGATGAATAAAGAAAACAGAATCCTGCCCTCACTGTCAGTGTCAGATAGTACACCAGTACCCAGTCAGAGGGACACCTCGAATAACTGTCAGTGTGAGGTGGGATGTAGTCAGAACGGAACAGGGGAAGTATCGGAATCAGAACTGATCCCTGTGAATGAGAGCATGATAAATGAGAGCTCATCCCAGTCTCTTTCATCATCTCAGTCGTTATTGTGTGGAGAGAAAACAGCATTGATGAATGATGCTTTCATAACGTCAGGCATTGGTGAACAGAGCATCCTTGGTGACAAAGATAAACAATGTAAGGTAGAAGACATTTCTCTGTGTACTTCATTGTGTGAACCTCTATTGGAGTCCACACTGTTAGACACAACTCAGTCTCAGCCACAACCAGAGGTAGTGGAAGATGTTACAGACAAGAAAGAGTCTAGTGTCACAGAAAAAGTGCCATTAGTCAACATCAAAGAATCCTCTAAAAATTCTCCATTGTCACCCACCTCTGCCACAGAAAAAGTGACAAAACAGTTGAAAGACACTCTGAGCACAGTTAATGGAACAACACTGAAGAAGAATTTGCTAAATGACAAGAAAAAAGAGAAAAATTCTCATACTGCTGAAAAAACAGAGACTGATAATCACAAAACTGCCATTGACTCTAAAAAGACCTCAAGTCCAAAACACACAGATAGGAAGCCTGCCTCACCTGCCAAGAAGGAGAATCATCAAAATGAGCTCAAGAGGAAGAGCAAACAGGAAGTGAAGTCATTGCCACCGAAGGACAGGTCTATAAATAGAAAGACACACCCCTCAGGTGGCAGTGACCATGTGTTGGATAATGGGGTCCATGGATCTGATTCTAATTCATCAGGATGTGATAATGCCAGTGAAGTAAGTGTCTGTCTGTCTGTTAGCCTCCTGTAGGTTGGATTATTAAAAAAATATTGATAAATAAGTTTATATTTATAATTCAATAGAATGTATAACAAGCTGTTGGATGTTAAAGAAGGACGGAATTTTTCTAACTGACTTTAATGTAACAGTTTGGTTGTTTTTCAAGACTTTGCTATATTTTAGGCCTCTAATGACAGTGGCAGGGGACCCAGTATGACAGACCTTCCTACCCCCATCACCTCCCCCAATCAACAGATGTACCACTGTAACTTTCCTACTGCCATTTGTGGACGACTGATTGGAAAGCATGGGAAAAATATCAACTTCATAAAGGAGAAGTCAGGCGCTAATATCACTCTTAGTGCAAACCCTTTCACGCCAGAGTTTCAGCTCTGTAGTATTGAAGGTACTGATAAGTAATGGGAGCAGTATTTGAGCCCAAATAAAAACCCCTTACTAACTCTGAAATCAAATGTGTCAGCTTCTTTGGTTAATGGGCAGATTTGTCATCAGGTTGGTTTGTATGTGATGTATTAGTTGCACTTCCTTCTGTATAAATGCATTACTTGATGTTTTGTGAAAGCACAGGATTTGCAAATTCTCCCATTTTGAATTATGTTTTATTACTTCAGTGCAGTAGGCAATACCCTCAGCACCATGTTTATTTCACTGGAACATATTTAAGTCCATGTTTATATAATGGAAGAAACAGGTTCCATAACCAGTGCTTGTTAATTATCAGTTTTGTCAAACACAGTCCCTTAATTTATAGTTCTTCTGATTCAAAGGTTGAAAGAGGTAATGTAATTGCCATTAATTTTTATCTTAATAGTCATATTCTACTTGCTGTCTGATGCTTACATACAACAACTGTACATAAGTCATGTGTAACAAACATTGTAGGCACTCAGAGAGAAATAGATTCAGCACTGCGACAGATAGGACGGAAGTTTCCTGAGGTGGATTTAAGTCCTGTCAACATTCCGTCCGGCGACGCCCCCCAATCAGCTGTTCTGATGCCTGATATTATGCAGGTAATGCCAGGCATCTCACAGGTAACTGTCATTCTTTATTTGTCTCCTCCCCCGCTTTGCCCAGGTACTTGGAGCATGTATATCCTGTCCTTACAAGTAAGAATGAGGTACTTCTCATCATTAATTAACATTGATAATTCCAGCTGGAAGATCTAGATTTTAAAAACTTCTCCTTTGAGAAAATGGTTTTAAGCCTTATTCTTTACTTGTTCTCTTCTTGGTATATGGTTTGGGAGGGGCTATATAAAATCTGCATGTCTAGACTTTATTTTATTAGTCCTCTTTACGTATCACATATTCAGTTATTCACTCTGTTCAAATGTTGGATACATGTTGTCTCTTCCAGAATAGATAAAACGTAGAAAATTAATTGCAAGCTCACTTTGACTAAAGCTCAACTCACAAATAGTAGATTCTTAAATCTTTAATGTAGAGGAAACTTTTCACAAAAGCAATTTTCAATTCTAATTTCACAAATTGAAGGGTTTTAAACACAGGAATACAGTTTGGATGTCCAAGTCACAGTTTAATGAAGGGAACTTTGTCCAAATAGAGAATATAGGCAGAAAGTTTTAAATTATTTTGACAGGTATCAGGTTTAAACTTAGCATTAAATAAGAATTCTTTGAAAAGTTAAATAAGATATTGATGTAAAAAAATCAAGATGTTTTAATCTGCAATACCAAAATGATTGAACTGTAGTAGGGATTACAATTGATGTTATAAATCAGCTGACTTTCTCCTCGTTCTGTAGATCCCTAGTGTTGTGATTTTGGGAATGGTAAGTTCTTTTTATAAAAAGGTATCCAACCTGTATTCTGTGTGCTGAACACTTGTATAACCCTTTTGTCTAACATAGATTTGTAGAACCATTTACAACTAAAAGAGGATTGCAGTGAATATATGTATAAAATATTTTTGAATTACTTGATAGTGCTAGGGAATTTTCTCATAGTGATTAGATTATCATGTTAGCTTTCTTCATTTTCAATTTTCAGCTTTTTAAAGTTTTCAATAGAAGATTCAATAGTGTTTTGATATTCTTTAGTGATAAATAATTTTTAAAAAATGTTATCTATTATTTTTTCTATTAGTAAATCTAGACAAATTATAAATAAAAACAGTTTTAGTGCTCACTGTATAATTTTTATGCATTTATCAGTTTTAATAAGAATCCTTTTGTGTATACAGTGTACATGTGTATTTGCCTTTTGCCTATATCTGTCTGTTGTTTTAAATCCAACTGGTTAACTTAAAGATGTTACGTCTCATTTGATTGGTCAATTTCAGCTGAGCCTCCCTGAGGGTGTGTCGGTAGATGTGGTGGTGTCCAGTATTGTGGACGCAGGACATATCTTCATTCAGCAGCCCACCCACCCCTCCTTCCCCTCCCTAGAACGCCTCAATCAGTTCATGATTGCCTGCTACATACAGGACGGCCTGGTGCCACAGCTGCCCCGCCCACTCGAAGGTAAATCTTAGCTATGTAGAAAAGAATTTACGCCCTCTTGAAGGTAAACAGTAGTTCTGTAGAAAAGAATGTATGCCTTTTGAAGGTAAATCTTAGTTCTGTAGAAAAGGATTATTTTAACAAAATGATTGTTGAATTTTGGTGATAGCTATAGATATAATATAAAGGCATAAAATCAGCATGCTGAAATTAAGTTTTTATTGTAATTGTAGTTGGCGTTATATGTGCAGCACCAATGCTGAATGGTTGGTACCGAGCTCAGATATCTGCAGTGAGTGAGGACTCAGATGAGTGTGATATCAAATACGTAGACTATGGGGGATTCTCCCGCGTACAAGGGAGTACACTCCGTCAAATCAGGTCAGTAGGAAATCCCATCTAAAAATACTGTAAACCAATTATTATTCGCGACATGCTTTATTCACAACTCATCAGTTTACAATTCATTCGTGAAGATTAGTTTTTGTGACTGGGGATCATTTTCTACCAATATTAAGCAAAATAAATGGTTCAAGGCGATAAATATTTGTGAATTAAAGTAAGTCGCGAAACTCAGTAATATTTCTCACACATGCATAAAAGTTGGTTTACAGTAAATTTTGAACTTGACAAGTGATCATTTTATTTATCCTCTTTCAACAAATCACACGAGAGGTGCAAATTTGTAATCCAGATTATAATTTGTTTAAACAGGAGTGATTTTATGACACTGCCTTTCCAAGCTTGTGAATGTTATATGGCCAATATAACACCACTTCAAGGTAGGTGTATAAATTGGTTAAAAAATCCAGAGTATACTAAGTATAATATTAAGCAAAGAGTAAGAGTGAAAACGTGTGTGAAGATATATTTTCTTGATTAGCTAGTTTATGATTGATTGTGATTTTTAGATGAGGATTTCTTCAGTGCTGAGGCTGCTGCGGTTTTGGAGGAACTGACACAGGGTAAAATGTTGCAGGCCCAGGTTGTTGGGCGAAGTGAGGAGGGCATTCCTTATGTTCACATCTACCAGATTAATGGGGAAAAGGTAGCATATATGGTAGATAAATATAGGATCTCCTATGATATGTAGTTATATATGATTTTTATTTGTGTTTTTTCGTCACAGAGCCTTGGCAAGGGGATAAAAAAAACACACAAGTTCTATAAAAATCATATACAGCTACAAATCATGAGAGATTCTTTTAATCACATTTTATACTTCACTCTCAAGGCTTTAAACTGATTATTAATGTAAGACTCCAAAGTCTGATGGTGATGCCAAAGTCCCGTGGTCTCACCAAAGTCCCATGGTCTGTGCCCAACCCCGATGGTTTGTTGTAGGTAAGGACACCAAAGTCCATGGTTCGTTTCCCATGAGACGCGATGCGCTAAAGTGCTATGGTGTGACATGCCAAAGTCCGATGGTGCAGAGAAACAATCAATGTTGATGACGTCACAGTAATCCGACGTCAAATCCTTGACACGGTTGTCCTACATTTAAGTCATTTCTGAACTCGTCCTTGCAATCAAATTTTATTGATTTTGCTTATTGCTTGCACCTTCCAGATATATTAGGATTAGTTCTCGCACACTACTCTTCTGATTAGGTTTAGTCCTTGCTTCACACCAACCCAACGATTAAGGGTTAGTTCTCGCACACTAGTCAAGTGATTAGGGTTCATCTTTCACCCACCCAAGATATCTAGGTTATAGTTGTTGATACACACTTTTCGAATGATAAGTGTTAGTCTCCCTCCTATCTGAGAGATTAGGGTTAGTTCTTGCTTATTTATATTTATTTATACTTATTTAAGACCTTGGCAGGACACGGCATTGAGGTTTGGCGCAGTGTACTATGACGTCATAAATGTTAATTGTTTTCCACACCTCGGACTTTGGCATGTCAAACCATCAGGGTTTGGGGCAGACCATCGGACTTTGGCGTGACCATCCGACTTTGGAGTCTCATTGCACTTTGGAGTCCTATATGTATATATAAATTCATAATGTTTACTTCATTATTTTCACACAAAATCCATGTGGATTAACATAGCAGCACTGATGACTTGCTTCATTTTTAACTCATTATAATGCATTTTCAGAGACTGAATTCTTGAAATTGTAAAATTTGCAAGAAATACTGTATGTATGCATAACCCATTGGATAAAAAGTGTAGAATTCAAAAGACGATTATGAATTGTTTTCCTTAGGTTACCTTTGTCAACCGTGAATTGGTAAACAGAGGAGTGACACGGTGGATTGAAGTTCTATCCTGAGTGTATGTCCCTCCACCACCCGCCAAGATCAAACCAGCCGAAGCTTCTCGTGTTCACTTCCCAGAATTCCCAGCATCACTGGACACAGCTTTTATCAACATTGTCTCTGAGCTTCTTTTTTTATTTGTTTTTGAAGAGGCGTTATGGTGTGTTGATCATTGGTTGAGAGTTAAGACAGTAGCCGTTTCGTTGAAAGCTAAGAGAATGAATTGTTAGAGATTGTCTTATTGGTTAAGGAGTCATAAGTGTGTGCTTCTATTGACTGTCAGTTTATACAAGAACAAAGAATCGGAGTGGAGTGCATATTGCACTCGATGTTTGGATTTTCCTATAAGTCTTTATTATTTTAGATTTTTTTTTTAATTGTGATGCTTTCCTTTCATGTCATCAATTAAAAGGCAGGAAATGATACATGTATACCTCAATCTTTCGTAGTCTTCATAGTTAATAGTAGTAATGATGCTTTACTATAAAGAAGAAAAGAATATTTTATTAATTTCATATAATAACTAAATTTGGTCACTTTAGAAAAGTGTGTAAAGATATGTATAAAGAGAAGTTTTCTATTCTGTTCTGTTCAAAAAAAAAAGGTTTGTAATCTGTTCGGTGTTATATTCTGAATAAGCGGAAAATAATTTTACAAACTTTTTTAAATTCAGATTTATTATTCATTTTTTACATTTATTTAAAGACGGTTGTGTCGTATATAAAAATCAGTCTTAAAAATCAAATAATTGTACATTTCATAAAAATTCAATATAGGATTATCATAGCAGAAAAGCTAGCTTTCCTCCAGAGAAATACTAAGGCCAATCTCTGGAGAATTTGGTTGTAAAAATCAGTACGTTTGATTTTTGTCTTTTTACAGCTTTTTGTGATTGGTATATTTTTTTCAAATGGGTCTCAATATTGAACAAGGATTATCTGTCATAATATATGATTGATTTGAACAATATTTTAAGTTTATTTTATTATTTGAAATTTTTTTAAATAGTTTTTTATACATTAACTTAGGAAAATATGGTTGCCAGAAATAACTCACACTTTTTGTGTACTGTAAATCACTTTTTATTCGCAAGAACTTTATTTTCGGGTAATTACACGAGACAGTGTGCTCGTGAAAATTTAATTCTCGCATATAATAGCATTCCTTAAGATTATATAGAGCAATAACCACAATTGGTGAAAATTTTGTCTCGGTAATCAAGAGTCAATGACTATCTCGTGAAAATAAGGTGTCGCGAAAATTTAGTGATCTACAGTATTTCTGATATATATGAACTTGAAAATGTCACACATTCAAGAAACTGAAAATATACAATATAGAGAATCAGTATATTGAACCTTATTTGAATAGCTATTCTGATCTTTACACTTTTCTGAACTGAATGGAGAGAGGTAAATTTTAGACAAGTTTTAATTTGTTCAAATTACCTTGTATAAATTGTAATCAGTGGAGTTAATGGTGCATGTTTAATATGTATTATTTATTTGAACACTGCCGATTGGTGATATACCATGGTCTCATGAGTTTTACAGTGTATTATTCATTTATATGATTAGTTCTTCATTAGGATTGTAGATTAATAGTTCTGGTAATTTTTCTGTTGTTTTTTTTCCCCAAAACATTACACATTTAATATGACTCTGGCCCCCCTTATTCATTATTTACATTGATTTTTTTTAATGAGAATTTTCACCTTCTTTGAAAATGATTATTTTAAGACTGAAAATCTGTATTTGAGAAAAGGATATAATTACCCGGTATGAGAGAAGTTTAATTAGAATTTTAAATCGTGATTAAAATTCACTTTGGAGTATTTGCCATAGAAGGGAGGCAGCTTTCAAATAAAAAAAAATAGCTTTTGAGTTTATGAGAGTGAAATTAATAGATTAGATTGGACACTTGTTTTCATGGTATGATTTATAATATCTGTTTCTATTTGGAGGGTAGTCACACTTGTGTCCCTTCTTTTATCTGTGATCTTTTGAAACTTCAGGACTTGTGACCATCTACTCTAAATTTCACAATTTTTAAAAGAAAAACTTCCCAACATTGATTTTTAGGTCACCTGAGTCACTCAGGTGACCTATTGCTATCCGTTTTCGTCCGTCGTCGTGCGTCGTCCTTCGTGTGTCGTGTGTTGACATTTGAACATTTTGAGCTGCTTCTCTGAAACCGCTGAACCAATATCAACCAAATTTGGTATACAGCATCTATGGCTGAAGGGGAACAAAAATTATGAATTTCATGGTCCCTGCCCCCCTGGGGCCTGAGGGGTGGGGCCAAAACCACTAAAATTAATGAAATCTTAAAAAATCTTCTTCTTTACTCCTGGACATCAAGCAAGCAAACTGTTAGCATGAATGTAATGTCTATTGAGTCCTCCACCAAAATTGTGAAATTCATGGCCCCAGGGTCAGGGGTTCTAGTGCTAGGGCGGGGCTATATAGATTATATAGTGAAAATGCATAAATTCTTGAAAAATCTTCTTCTCTGCTCCTGGGTATTAAATAAACTAACTAAGTACATAGTTATGATGAGCAAGAGAGAATTTTATGGCCCCAGGGTCAGATGTTAGGGCGGGGCTCTATTGATGATATAGTGAAAGTGCATTAATTCTTTCAAAATCTTCTTTTCTGCTCCTGGGTATTAAACAAACTAACTAAGTACATAATTATGATGAGCAAGAGTGCCTCTTTCAAAATTGTGAATTTCAAACGTTTTGCCATTTGGTATAGGGGGGGGGGGGGCACTTTTGATTATATAGTAAAAATACATTAATTCTTTGAAAATCTTTTTCTTTGCTCCTGGGTATTATGCTGATGATCCAAGTATATATATTTATGATGAAGAAAGGTGCATCTAGCAAAATGGTTCATTTCATGTCCACTGGGTCAGAGGTATCGGAAGGGGGGGGGGTTACATAGTCTAAAAATAAATTAATGCTTTGAAATCTGCTATTTGGTATTAATCAACCATTTATGATGAAATAAAATTTATGATAAAATTTCGAAAATTTTGAAATATGTGGCTCCAGGGGCAGTAGTTCTTTTGGGGGTGGGGTGCACAACTGGTTATAAAGTGGAAGTGCATTTTCTCTTTATTACTCTGATCTACCAATGGGTATTAAGTAAATAGTGTAAGCATGCCAAGTTTATAATTATGATAAGCAATGAAGTCTCTTTCAAAATTGTGAATTTCATGGCCTTTGGTTTAAAACACGAACCAAAATCAATTGTTGGAAAGTTGTTACATGATACTCAGGTGACCTATAAGGCCCGTGGGCCTCTTGTTATCAAGAGCTGTAGCATCAGCTTCAAATGGAAAATAGTATGAGGTACATGTTTGAAGTGCTGCTTATTTTTTCGGAGATGATTTTTATGTCAGAGCAATCGTGATATGAAGAAAGTTTAACACAGAGAATAGAAAGAGAAAATAATATTTAGTATCATACCTATGAAAATCATATTAGAAAACAAAATGTGCTGCTGCTTCCTAAGTCAGAATATTCCAATGTTGTATGTGGTTGTAAGAAAAAAAAATACATATGAGAGCAGGAGTTATCTTTCTTCTAAATATTTTTTTTCTTCAGGAAAAAATGAAATAATAATAAAACTTCTGTATTTGGTACATTGTACTCGAAACATTAAACCATTTTTTTAAATCACCCTGAAAAAGATGGAACTTATTTGATTTATAAGACTTTTAAAACTGGATATAAATGTTTGTTAGTTTGTTTGTTTGTTTGTTTTTTTTGGTTAAATATAATAAAACAATTTGAAAAGAATAGGCAGAAGAAATAGAAGGTTATGTTTCCATCAGTTGTTAGATTTGATGAATTGACTACTCCGAGGTCTCAATAAGGAAATTCTGATAAAAAAAACTGAGTAGTATTCATATTTTGTACTTTGGAAGTTATCTCTCTTATGAGAGGGTCGGTACCTGTTAAGTAAATGGGTCTGATGTTCATAAGGTATAAGCAATAGATTATCTCCAAAGAAGGATTCAGTGGTTGACAAATGGGATGAACAGTTTAGTTTTGCTTTTAATTAAATGTCAGTAGTTCTGAATGATTTACTTTAAGTAGTTTCATTTTCTAATTAAAGGCTAAAAACTACCAAATTATTTACTGTAATGTTCACCAGCTGTTATTCATGACTACTCAGGCCTCTAAGTGACCTCTAAAATTTAGGCGCCAGCTGGCTCCCAATAAAAAAAAATAATCGCCAATTAGTTGCCTGGCAAATTTTATTTTTAAGGGCCAATTTAAATATACAATGTATGGACTCATTGGTTAGTCCCAGGAAAGGGAGGGGGTTTATTGCTATATAAAAGATTCTTTTCTCCACTTCAGAAAGAAAAAGTTGAAAAATTTATAGTTTCGGAATTTGATGTTTGCCAGCTTAATTGTAACTGGTTGCCATGTTGGTGACATATGGAGAAATTTTAGGCACCAATCAAAATTTTTTGGTGCCAATTAGAGCCAGACCATTTTTGTACAAGTTTGTTTGTTTGAATTTCATCCAAAACTATATTTTATTATTATAAGACTTTGGAAAAAATTTTATGAATAAAAAAAAAATAGATAGGAAAGAAGGTCAGTTGACAAAACTTTAGGATCTTCCTGACAAGGAATAAAAACTGGATTACAATAGTAAATTCTTTTGGACTTTTACACTGATATCAGCAGTTTTCAAAATTGATGGGGCGGTGACATATTTATTTACAGTACATGTACCTTTATTTCTCAGTTCTGTGATTGTGTATATAAATTTTTCAGGTGTGGCACAGAAGAAAAATTCTTATAAGACTGAGTTTGAGTATCAAGTATGTGACAGTGGCAACAATTGTGTGTGAATGAAGTGTGGCTTGTTAAATTCCGATGTTGTTTGTTGGTTAAACCACTTCTAGATGTGACATTATATATTAATATTCCAGATGGTGTGTTCGTTTCTCCTTTGTTGTCAAGAAGCATGATAGTGCTACATAGTCGTAGATCAGGTCCAACATGATAATCCCAATACATCATTTATTTTGTTTATTGCCATGCTACAAAAATTGTGACATAATAAACATTTTCACAAACTGCAGTGTCCTTTAATTATCTGTCAACTGAAAATGCCCAGGTTGTTCGTTTATGTGAATGGTCAGTGTTAATTTTATACCTTACAACTGAACATGTCCTTGAACAGTTAATGGTCAATAAAAGAGATTAGAACTTCTAAATCATTTCTACACATTCATGGTATTTGAGTAAAGATGGTGAAGTTTATGACTGTATTACTTGACAACTGATATATTTATGTTCTCAGTATTTTTTCTTGTATCATTTTGTATCCCATTTGCAGATTTGTCATAAGTAACAACTCCCCCCCCCCTTAAAATGCCTAAAAGAGATATGAAAAAACCATATTTCTTAAGAGAAAATTATTTTGGGATTTTTTTAAGGTACCAATATATAATTTTCTTCTGATGGAGTTTATGCCTTCTAGATGATTCAATACACAAAAGCATATTTTATGTACCAAAGCTTCAAAAGCGAGTCAGCCTATTAACAAATAAGTTAATGGCACACGGATTTCCTATCATTAACTTATTTGTCAATTGCCTGCCCGATTTA